TTTTCAGCCGTGGGCCTGTCCACCGTCCCTCAGACCTTATGGGGGGCCGGACTATATTTTTTGGGGTGGGCGAAATGAACGAATTCCTATGCCCCACAAATAACCCGGAAATGTATTTTAAAGAAAAGCACACATTCTACTCATGTAAAAACACACTGATTCCTGGACTGTCCACGGGCCGGATTGAGAAGGCAATTGGGCCGCATCCGGCCCCCGGGCCTTAGGTTGCCTACCCCTGATCTATAAGAAGCAAAGTTGTCCCTTCCTGGAGGCTTACAGTCTTTTAGACATGACACAAAAGGGGAAAGAGAAAAACAAGCAAATTCAGGCACCAATTCCTAAAGTTACATAGTCGTTCTCATGGCCAGTCATGGCAAGTAACTGGCTTGGCTTCCTCACGCACACGATCCACTTCATTTAAACATCACTGGAGCGATGTCCACGGCAACAGCGATGCTGGCAGCAGCTCCCATGTTGTGTAACCGAAACCTCCCATTGCACTTCCTGTCTGTCACCGGGGGCACGACAATATTCTGCAGTATGGCATTTACATCACCTCTTTATAGCCCAATGGGCTTGCCTTTCGTTAACCAACCAATCTGGGTCTCGGGCACAACAGCACAGGGAATTTTTTTGCTGGGCTTTCTTACTTAGGCAAACAGATGTCTGGTGAGAATTTATATTTTCTTGCATCATAGTTTATGGTTTTCCTGCCCCAAAGGGTCTCCGTGGACCCCAATGTGAAAACCACTTTCGGAGGGAGCGGAAACTGGAGGAAAACTCAACCAGAGTTATTACTTACCTCTGCCTATTATTAAATTACCACTTTTGCTTACTGTTAGGAAATTACTGGCTTAGATCCAAAGAACCATGTAGTTGGCCCAAGGGAGCCGTGGGCTTGTTTTTCTCACACAGCAGCAGCCCCTTCTCTGCACCCATCTGCACAGCAAAATAGTTTCTGAAACATATCGCAAAAAGAAGCTTTTGGTATGCCAGGAAGGTCAGCTATCCGAAAAAACCTCAAGCATGAGATCTATAAGAAGCAAGCTCAGCCTTGGCTCTATGGATGTTATACAGTGGGGTGTTTATGCATGGCCCCAAAGGAGGACCCTGATTTGCATCACATTTGCATGTGCTAATTGATTTGCATAGATGCAAGTTTGAAAATAGCTATTGCAGAAATAAAATATAGCTCGCCAAGGTGCGCAGGAACATAGGAAGCTGCCATGTTTGCAAGCCACTTTGAGATTCATTTGAATGAAAAGCAGCATAGAAAGGCATTCAATCAATCCATCAATCCCCTGAGTCAGACCATTGGGTCCATCTTGCTCAGTATTGTACACTGGTGGGCAGAGGCTCTCCATGGTTTCAGGAAGGGGTCCCTCTCAGCTCTATCTGCAGCAGCCAGTTCCTTTCTGTTGGTCTGCCTCTGCCACCAAGCCAAATGATAGTGACTTATCTCACAGGGTTGTTGTAATAATAATAATAATAATAATAATAATAATAATAATAATAATTTTATTTATATCCCACCCTCCCTAGCCAAAGTCGGGCTCAGAGTGGCTAGCAACAGTAAAAATAACACAGTTTACATAAAATCACAATCAGTTAATTGAAATACATTCTAAAATCAATTCATTCTAAAATCAATTCAGAGTCAAATTAATGGCAGCCATTGGGCTACAGTTCTATGAGGATTACAGAAGGAGGGGGTCAGGCTGTGCCTTGGCCAAAGGCCTGGTGGAACAGCTCTGTCTTGCAGGCCCTGCGGAAAGATGTCAAGTCCCGCAGGGCCCTAGTCTCTTGTGACAGAGCGTCCCACCAGATCGGGGCCACGGCTGAAAAAGACCTGGCTCTGTAAGTATTACAGCTAGATCATGCTCACAAACCGCTCTGAACACTTGAAATTGCCATAGGCTACTGCTACTGCTGCTGTCCATTATTTTGTTTTTGTTTTTTTGTTAGAAAAGAAAGGTAGGATGTAAATACAGTGGTACCTCGGGTTAAGTACTTAATTTGTTCCGGAGGTCTGTTCTTAACCTGAAACTGTACTTAACCTGAAGCACCACTTTAGCTAATGGTGCCTCCTGCTGCCGCTGCACTGCTGGAGCACAATTTCTGTTCTCCTCCTGAAGCAAAGTTCTTAACCTGAGGTACTATTTCTGGGTTAGCAGAGTCTGTAACCTGAAGCATATGTAACCCGAAGTACCACTGTATAACTACTAACTAAAATAAAGTGGGTTTTTTTCCACCATTTATATTTGAATGCATGCAAAAGCAACCTCTACCCCAACACAGCCCAGCCCCACATATCTTGCCTTCCCTGCTGACATATGAAAGGAGACAGTTGGCAGCCTGATGGAACAATCAGCACTTGCTTTTTTAAGCCTTAGGAACCTTTGAGAAGCCAGCTACTCAAAATCTGGAGAGACACAAAGCTCACTCCCTGCTAAATGACTCTGCGCTGCTGCTCACTGAACAGACAAAGCAAGCCTATTTGTAAAGGTGACCAGCAAAAGGCCCAATTCTTTAATCCCAAAGAGCCATCTAGTGGCAGAATTTAAAATTATGTGCCTTGTTTGTCCTGAAGAGCTGCCCAGTTGAGTGCTGTCAAGTTTTCAGAATGACAGGCTATATTAAACATTCAGCTTCTCCTTTCTGTTCTTTTATTAAAGTACTGTATACAGGCTGGTTTTTCCTTAAAATCCCAGCTGTGTGCACACTCTCAGCCCAAAGCTTACCTACTCAGTGGAGTTATTGACAAATGGGAACTCCTGTTACTGCCTGGACCAATAAAAATGACTTCAGACCCTCCAAGTGTCCCTGATTTAGAGAAGCCGTCCCAGTTTCTGATTTGATCCCAGAATGTCCTGTTTTCCTTAAAGGTAAAGATAAAGGTACCACTGACCATTAGGTCCAGTCGTGGACGACTCTGGGGTTGTGGCACTCATCTCGCTTTATTGGCCGAGGGAGCCGGCGTACAGCTTCCGGGTCATGTGGCCAGCACGACTAAGCCACTTCTGGTGAACCAGAGCAGCACACGGAAACGCCGTTTACCTTCCCGCCGGAGTGGTACCTATTTACCTACTTGCACTTCATGTTTTTGAACTGCTAGGTTGGCAGGAGCTGGGACCGAACAATGGGAGCTCACCCCGTCGCGGGGATTCAAACCGCTGACCTTCTGATCGGCAAGCCCTAGGCTCTGTGGTTTAGACCACAGCGCCACCCACATCCTTAGGGCATCCCTATTTTCATTGGAGAAGTGTTGGAGGGTATGGAGTTATCCATCCCCCGAGCAGTCTGAAGGCAATCCTGCATAGGGAAGGGTTTTTTTTTAATGTTTAATGTTTTATTATGTATTTCCATATGCTGAAAGCTGCCCAGAGTGATGGGATAACCCAATAAGATGTGTGGGATATAAATAGTAAATTTATCATTATGGAATGGGATGCCCCTATTTTCATTGGAGAAATGTTGGAGGGTATGTGACTTTGAACCACACAAAGATCAAAAGCACAGATTTTGAGACATCCCTGTAAAAAGTAATTAATTTGCAGTGGTGACTTATGGCCCCTTTGTCAGTATTGCCCTCAATTGCACCTTCAGTATGGTAAATTCTATCTTGTTAAATTAAAAATCCATTATGAAATATATTATAAGACAGTCTGTGGATCACCCTTTAAAAAACACATTTACCTGTACATGGAAGCAACCCTGGTCAGATTCAGGTAGCACAAAGCCGTCTCTGTCTGAATGCTCTTACAAATAAGCCATAGATTTAACTATCAGGTGCTCCTTGCAGATTGCTTGTTATTAACTCAAAACCAAATTGGAGACAAATCACACTTTGAGTTAAGCACTTAAATAATCAACTGATAGGAGACCAAATGTGTGAACGAATGCACGAACCAGCCCTTGGTTTCTTCCTTTCTTTAAGGTAGTCCACATCCAGTTAGGCTACTGAGCGGCAAGATACTGAGATGGTAGAGCAAGAAGCAAGTCAGGGCCGAAGACAAAATTGTGACATATTATAGTTGATCTTCTTTGATGGTCTACTCAGCGGTATGCTGTAAGATTTACACAGAGACCTGCATAAATCAGTTTGTGTCACAAGGTGAACAAGGGCCAGAGCTCCATGCTTGCCTCTCTTATTACGCCATTCCACCCGGGAAGCAAGGGGTAGGGAACCTTTGGCCCAGTGGCCCAAATTCAGACCTCTCCATTTGGCCCTCAGGACCCTCTCCAGGACACAGAAAGTTACATAGGTCACACCTTCCATGAGTGATTATGCCTGGATGGAACTAGAATGCATCTTGCTTGCCTGGAAGGAAGATAAGAGAGATGTGGTGTGTTTGAAACTTGATTTTTCACATGACTGGTATGTAACCTACTGTACAAGGGCTTTTTTTTTTTTTAAAAAAGCTGGAAATCAGTTCCAGCACCTCTCAGGTGGGTACCATTGCCATTATAAGAGAACAAGGGAGGGGTTTGTGGTGAGTTGTGGCACCTCTTTTTCTAGAAGCCACGTCCACTTTTGTTTCTGGCCCCACCAAACACTTGCAGGCAGCCTCCGGAGAGTTGCCTCCAAAGGAATGTGGAATGTGCTTATTCAGGTTGAACATTTTTACTTGTCCCTGCCTTAAAGAACCAGGCCTCTTTCTCAGACTTGGATGGGGTGAGCAGCTATCAAGCACCTGCAGTTCAATGTAGTCTCAGTCAAGGGGCACTCTGTTCTGACCCTATCCAAGTGTTCAGTTCCTGCAGTACTGCACCCATGAAGGGTTTCAGAGAACACACCTGGCTATATTTATTCATTTACTTTATTAATTGCTTCAGGATGTTTCATGGGAAACAATTAGCTGGGGGGGGGGGAGGGAATCAACACAACACTTAAACATCCTTTCTAGTCCAATGCAGAAAAAAAAATATCCACTTGAAAGGCTTGCTGGAAGAGGAAGGTCTTCAACAGGCTCTGCAAAGATGATAAAGACTGCACTTGTCTCATAAGTGATGAGAGGAAGCTCCACAAAGAAGGTGCCCCACTGTGATAAAGGTCTGGTTCCAACATACTCTGGAATGAAATGGTGTTTGTAGGAAGCCCTTGCCCACAGAACACACGTGTGTGTGTGTGTGTGTGTACACACATGGCCAGTATGCACAGCACCAACAACCCCCCATGGCCAACTGAGTATGTGTGTACAAAGGACTCCCTCCACAAAGTCACAAACCCTGACTGACACCTGGACCTGCTTAATGGTCCTTTAGACTTATGCCAATCACATGTTTTGCAAGGAGGTGTTCCTGGAACACCTGCTGAATCAAGAAGGGAGGTTTCAGTGGGCATGTTCTTGGGTACAGAGTGCCTGACTAGGGCTTTGCTAATGAGGCTGAGTAGACATAAGCATGCTTCAACATCACTAACCTTACAAGGTCTTTGCAACAGCTCCCATCCAAATCATAATTTGTAAAGGCTGGAGAAAAATTGAAATTCTTTTTTCTTTCCTTCTTTTTTTTACAAAGGCACTAGAAGTCAAATTGGTGTTAATTTCTATCAAGGCTAAATACAGACCCACATATTTCAGTATAAATGGGTGGTGCATCAAGCTGTAAGATATTCAGTCATTCCACAGTGAGACACAGCAAGAGTCCTGTTATCCCAATTTATGCTTTATTTATCAGTGTTTTTTAAAAAGTCTTTTCAAACTGCTGGGGGAACATCAGCTACGGTTCCTCCAGGATACCAAGGGATGAACATTTCTAGGTTCTATGCACAACAAAACACCTAAAACAGCAACCCTGTGCTGTCACCCAAATGAATCACAGAACTTTCAAGGAATGATCCAGGACCCTTGGCTTCGGGCAAGTCCTCATAACACTTCCAACAGTGTAGAAAGTTGCACAAGTGGCAACATGCCTGGCTTATCTCTCAAGAGGCACTAGGATGGTCCACTCTTTGGTAATGAGCACGCATTCGGATTTCTCCTCTGTTCCACAATTTTTGCCCAAATGTGCCCCTTTGCAGGAACCTGCAAAACAACGAGAGAGATCAGTGAGGATGGTTCATGTGCGTATCCCCCAAATGTTCCCAGCAACATGATTTCAAAGAGTCTTACAATGTCTGTAAGAGCATAAGGGCCCAATGGCACATTTAGTTCAGCACTTGGTTTTCAAAATGCTCAACCAGATGACCACAAAGAGGACCTCACTGCAACAGGACTCTTCCCACTCATGGTGCCCAGCAAATGGTATCCAAACAGCCTCCATCAATGGAGGTAGAACACAGCCACCATGACTAGAAGCTACAACCACTGATAGCCTAGTCCTGTGTACATATGTCTAAACCAGTGTTGGCACCGACTGCTATTGTGGACCAAGCTGTGCAACAAGCAATCATCATCATCATTTTTAATCTGTATACCGTCTTTCTATCTTACAATAGTCAAGACGGTTTACAAGCTGAAGAAACAAAAAATGTACATCTTATAACAATCTAATGCAATACAAAAATGTGATAATAAAACATAACTTTAAAATAGGCAACCTACATCAAAAAAGTAACATTCAACCATCATTAGAATAGTATTAAATAATAATAACAACATATAAAAGTTAAACGGAAATCAACTCAACAGTTACAATAAATAATTTCTAAACTATAATCAATAAAACAATGGCAAGCCACAGTACATAAAATAATACAATACAAATTGAGAAGCAGAGACAAGAGGGTGGGGCAAGACAGGTGGAAGGAGGCCTTGCCTGATGGAGTCTCTCCCCTCACAGTTCTTTCTCCAGGACCAGCTTCCTTATGAGGAATCCCAGGGCCAGGGGGTGGGGCAAGGCAGGTGGAAGGGGCCTCTTCAGGACTTACCGTTTCTTTGAGAACTGCTGGTCTATCTCTTCTAGAGTCTGTCCTTTGGTTTCAGGCACAAAAAGGTAAACAAACAGAACAGCCACTGCTCCCACCAGTCCATAGAGAAGGAACATCCATGATAAGCCTATGGCATCTGCAAGCAGTAGTAAAACACCATTAATATGTGGCAAGACAGAACTTTTGCTTGGACATAATGAAGGGCGGTATATTCTCAGAACAGTGGTGTGCATTACCTTATTAATATGCAGTTGGGCCAAGAAAAAGCACAGTGACATAGGCAGGAATTTGGTCCAGTAGGTAAATAACGTTCATCTTTCACAGCATTCAACGGGGATTGCCAGTGCAGTATCTGTGGGCACAATGGTGTTCCTACGGTGCCCATGAAATCTTTGAGCCCTCTTCCCATTCACTGCCCCCTTGGCTGTGAGGCGAAATGGAGGGTAGTTAATTTTAAAATTCCTTGAAAAGTACTTAAGAGTTGAAGCAGGAAATTCAAAGACTGAAACTCTTTCCCACTTCCTCTTTCAGCTCTAAGTGCTTCTCAATACTCAGATTAATTCCACCAGATCCAACTTTTACCTACATATCTTGGAAAAGGGAACTGTATGTGTATGCTGTGCATTTTCTCTCTTACTGTCTCTTTGTGCAGGGAGCAATGGGGGAGACAAGTGACCTGGAGGGGTAGTGCCCACAGCATTTGATCATAAATCCCATGGGCCTACAAAGTTTGTCAACTCTTGGCATAGATGTTTTGGTCATTCAGAATTACAAGCTGCCTGTAACGTTAGACTGTCCCTGTCAGATAGGGGTACTGCCTGGCCACTCCCTGCCACCAAGGCCACTTAGGCCTCAAGCAACAATACTGGATCCAAAAGTACCCTCAAGCTATGTACCTGCTCCTTCAGGGGGAGTGTAGATGTTAGAATTCCTGCTCCATGATTGCAGTCATGGGATTGTTGTCTATCACATGACGGTATATGTTTTGACTCCACAGAGTGGGAAGTGACGGAGACAGGATGTTTGTGTTACTGTGTTCTGTGAAGTGGGACTATTGTCCTTTGTTTTTTCTCTGATGCTACAGAGAGAGAGGGAGCCATGTTGCAATGCTCTGTGTGTGTTTATATGTAAATAAAGTAGATTAGCCAAAATGCTGAGTTGCTGAGGTCTGTTACGCATGATGCGCAAACTCTGCAGATCCCTAAGTGTGCCGGTGTCGGTTGGCATCAGTTGCTGTGATGTTCGGGCTGAAGAAAGCTTTTGAAGCTCCCAAATGATTGACCAGGAGGGAGAGAACATGCCAGTCGAGCATGTGTTTCTGCCAGGGTCCTACTCGAGTGTAGGCTGAACTCCTGACAATAACATCATCCAGAGCAGGCCGCATCCCATCCACCTGGTTCAAAATTCAAGATGGCTTCTCTCCCTTCACAGCAGTTCAGCAGACAGACATTTGCCATTGTTACAGTGGAACCTTGGAACTCAAACATAATCCGTTCTGGAAGACCATTCAACTTCTGATACGTTCGCATTCCGAGGCACAGCTTCCAATTAGCCAACAGCTAGGTTTTTGTCCGAGGAATGTTCAAAAACTGGAGCACTTACTTCCAGGTTTTCGGCATTTGGGAGCCGTAAACATTTGAGAACGGAGTCGTTCTAGTTCAGATGTATAATAATACAGTTCCACCCTATTATTATAGTTTCTTTTATATTTAGCTTCCCTCCCTCCAAGGAGCATATGGTTCCCTCCCCCACTGTTCTTCCCAAGGTGAGCTACATGCGGAGTAAGGATTGGAACCTGGGTCACCCACTATGGCCTAAGTTTAATATTCTAACCTGCCTAGTAATATATTCTGGAGAAACTGAGGATGGAGCAGGATATAAGCCTAACCACATACCTGCAATCAGCCCTGCTCTGAAGCAAATTGCTATGGAGAATATCAAACACAAGCAATGGCCATACATACCAATGAGGTCAAGGAATGTGAGACTGATCAGTAGATTGGCAGCCCAGTTGAAGCTGTTGCAGAAGGCAAAGGCTCTGCCTCGTATGTTGCAAGGGTAGATCTCACTGAGAACAAGCCACGTCACTGTGGCAGGAGAAAGGAAAGCAGAGGAACACGGTGAGGACGGAGGGAAACCAAAGAGAAAACGCCAAGCCATGGTTTTGTACAAATGTAGCAGAGAACCAACTTGGAAAAGCCTTGGATGTAGATGGAAAGTTAGGATTTGCTGGGCTGGGCGACAAAGACACACAGAAGATTCAAACTAACTGGAATGAAGACAATGACTACGTTTAAATGTCACAAGAAACTGTGGTTAAAATTAATTTTGGTCTGAGTTTGGCTTGTTTCATATAAACCAGTTCACATTAACCATGGTTTGTCAGGTTCAGATGATACACTAAACTTGGCTAAGTGAAATCTTAAGTGAAAGCTTCTGATGTCTTCCTCACAGCTGTGCCTAAGGAGAAGGGACATCACATAAGGCCAAAGCTCACTGTGGTTCATTCTCAACATACTAAGCATTAACAAGAGACATTGTAGTTCCACAGAGTTTGAAAGAGGGACTGTTGCTTTTGGGACATATAGACAGTGTTTTTTTTCAAGGGGTACTCAAGGTTATGCAGTACTGGCACCTATTTTTTGTTGTTGTTAAAAAGTGTGGCACTTCCTGTAACAACTTCATGGTGAGTACTGGTACCTATTTTTCTAGGGGGGAAAGCACTGAGAAATCCATTTTTTAACGAGACAAAGAAAAGTATGTATATACACCATACAAAAGAAGTCATAATTCTTCCAAACCACTTTCTGACCTTACTAGGTTTCCTGAAGTTTCATATGTCTAAATCAAATTGGTCCACTATTAGGCAAGTTTGTGATCAGTGGGAAAAATAAACAAATCAGTCAGTTAAACAAATGTGGAATTGGAGGACAAAGACCAATTCCAATCCAGTCTCTGGGTTGTATCTGGGTTGTATTTTGCCCCTCGTGTCTTATATTGGGGCAGGCTACGAGAAAGCATATGGATTGCATAAGCCACATGTAGTAGTAGTAGTAATTCCATTATTTGTACCCTGCCCATCTGACTGGGTTGCCCCAGTGTAGTATTTCTAGATCCAAATAATGAAAAACAGCCGATCTCAACTTCCACCTTTCTTGAAATAACCCTTTTTATAAACAGTGATAAATGAAGACCATGTCCATTTAGACCCACCTTTTCTAGGGCTGCTGAATGACCAACATGGGTACCAGTTTGTTGAGGTTATGGTGAATGTGCTTGGAGCAACCACACAAAATGTATTCAGGTCGCCTTGCGAGTTACAGCAGCCTACCACCACTGAAAACTGCCTAAAGCTTTACATGTGAACATGTGAATTATAATTAACACGTCTGCCAAACTCTTGTGTATGTATTTGGAAGGATTATTTCCAGGTGTTTGCCTAACCAGGTATGTAAATAAGTTTCTGCCGGAACTGCTACTTCCTGGAACGTCGTAGGTGGAAGGAAATATTTCAGAAACAAGGTGGAGAAGCCCTAGGTACCACAACCATTGTAGGAAACAAATGGCCCCATATATCAAATGTAGAGCCTGTATTCTGGACGCAGAAGATTCAGAGTTCAATCCCCAGCTGCTCCAGTTTGCCCAAGATCTTGTCTACTCCAAGTAAAGCAGGGAATGGCATCTGCCCAAGATCTTGGAGTAGACAATGCAGGCTAAATGGAACAATGGTCCAAGGGAGCGTCACATGTTCAAAAGGAAGAATGGACATCTCCAATGACCATAGAGAGGGCTGGATGTAAGTTCTACTATTCTCCCTGAGCCACTCCTAGTATTTCTCCCTCAAGAGTGCAGCAAGCTGCCAGGGGTGACATTTTTGTTTAAACTCCCTCTTCCCTCTTCCTTGACTGCCCTTCATCTTGGAAGTGAGAATGGGAGGACACCACTAAAATTACACACAGCGCGGCATTTGATTATATTAGTTTCCACCTACAGCAGTCTTGTCTTTAACCATTTGCCTGGTTGCCACTGGTAGCCAGGGATTTCACACAGGTGAGTGCAGCATGGAATTCCCTTTAAAGGAGCCACTGGGATTCATGAAACAGGGACTGAGCACTCTGCTTTGCCAGCCCAATCGACTTCTATACTAGCCAGAGAGGAACTTAAGCCACTTACTCCACAGCTGACTGAGCTGGCAAAGGAGAGACAAAGCTCTCCACTTCGCCAGCCCAACAGCCAATCAGATTGCAGAGTGCTCTATACCTGCTTCACCTGATCAGCTTCCATGAAGTGCCTCATGAACCAGCTCTAGCCATGTTTGGCATATTTCAGCTTCACCTATGTGGGTAAATGAAGATGAGGAGTAAGGGTTAGAGTCAGCTTAGGTCAGGCTTCCTCAACCTCAGCCCTCCAGAGGTTTTGAGACTACAATTCCCATCATCCCTGACCACTGGTCCTGCTAGATAGGGATCATGGGAGTTGTAGGCCAAAAACACCTGAGGTTGAGGAAGCCTGGCTTAGGTGTTCATTCCCAGCCAAACATTCCCAGCTGGTGAATGTTTTTAAAAGCAGTGGAGGAAGAAGACCTAGTAAGATTACAGGAAATGGTCAATGGAGTGACGAGGGGAGCAGGGGAGAAGAAAGCAGAAGGAAGAAGGAAATGCTTCTAGCTTGCAATTTTTCTTTTACTAGTTTGCTGTTAACCCATAGGAGGGACCCCTCTTATGAGCAAATATCAGGAGGCAAGTAAAAGTCTCATGGGGTGCTTAGTAACAAGACACTTCTATGGGATCCTTATGTTTTATTTTTACCGTACTCATTCAGTTTTGGTGCCCACAGCTGCTTGGTCAAGGCAGAAACACATTCACACACAGTCAGGTCCATGCAGACAGGTGGGCTGAATTAGGTAGGAATGTGAAAGCAGAGGAAATTCACTTACTTGGTCCAAATCCAATTGAGAATGCACTCACAAAAGCCATCAAACTTAGCAGTGTGATCCAGTTTAGAAGCAGGTGTTCCTTTGAAGGAGCATCACCCAAAGATGAGCTGGTTTCTTGTCCCTTTCCTTTATCGGACTGATTGAGAAAATGGGTCTGCCCGGTGTGTGGAGTGTTTGTCATCCTCTCTCCTTTCCTGTGGGTGGCAAGTGTCCTGGTCAAGCCTACAGGCCTCGTGATGGCTGAAGTCGATTCCATTTGCATTTCACTGCCACCTGATGCCAGGAGGGAGTAAGACACAGCTGGATGGGAGGACACTGACTTTCCAGGGAGATGAGCCGAGCTGAACGAAGTGGCATTTGAACCTGGGAGCATTTCACAGTCTTTGGCCATCTCTAATGAAACAGAGCAGCTGGTCAGGCCAATAGCAGTCACCGAAAAGGCCATCACTATGCAGCCAGCCATCAGCAGCACTCTTCTGCCAGCCTTATCTGCAAAAGCCATTGCAACAACAGTTGCAATGACCTTCATCACCCCCAGGCCGACAGAAGCCAGGACAGCAGAGGAATCACTCTGAAAGCCCACTGAGCGGAAGATGGTGGAAGCATAGCCAAGGATGTTGGGCTGCCCTGTGAACTGCTGAAAGAGCACCAACCCTAGGCCAACCAGAGTTCGGCTTCTCATGTTATCCTTGGAGCGGAAAAGGTCCACGAAAGAGTAACTCTTCTCCCTAGGGCCTGGTGGCAGCATGACGTCTTCATTCTTTTGCTGCTGAATGAGGCTTTTGCTAGTCTCGCTGTAGCAAACATTTAACTTCACAGAGTTCTTTGGGAGGAACAGGATGCTGAGGAACTGAACGACTGCCGGGCCAATGGCCAAGCCAAACATGTACCGCCAGCCCTCGGCAGTGTCCGCAAAGACATAATTCAGCGCATAGGAAAGTAAGATGCCCACGGTGATGCCAGCTTCGTAGAGGGAAACCAGCACCCCTCGTTGATGGGCAGCCACCATTTCCGAGACATATATGCAGCACGCCATAGAGGACAAAGAGATGGCGAAGCCTACCGTCACGCGTCCGCACACCAGCCAAACAAGCGACCCGGAGAGCGTAAGGATGAGACTGCCGCACAACAGAACGGTATTGCTGACCAATATTGCTTTGCGTCTTCCCTGGTGGTCAATGAAGATCCCGCCAACCAGAGAAGCCAAGAGAGCCCCAATGAGCAAGGAACTCACAAGGACTTCCCGTTCAAAACAGCTAAGACGGAGCTCCACTTGTAGCTGCAGCAAGGCTCCTGAGATAATTCCAAGTTCATAACCAAAAATCAGCCCACCAAGGAGTGAGACGGTTGAGGATAACAGGAGAACCAGCAGTGCATGTCCTGTAAAGAAAGAAGAGTACTCATGAGGTGTCAGGGTGTTTCTCATCCACCTTTACAGGAAATAGGAATCTCTCTGTGTGAGCATATAAAACAGAACTTTTAAGATCTGCGTGTGCAAACAAATGTGCGGACCTGTTCCTTAAGCAAACAATATACTAAAGCCTAGCAATATATAGCTTCAGTCACTCTCTGCACAAACAAAATTAGTATCTCAAACACTTTATGAGCGTGTGCCCTGTTCTTTTAGTAAACAAGATGTTATCTTCCTTAATAAGTCAACAGAGTGATTGTTTAGTCACAGTTAGTCCATTTGAACTTGTAATCTGTAACTAGTAACATGCTTTGCTGACCCCTGGAAGGATATTTTTTCTGCTTTTAAAATTAGCACAGCACCAATAAAGCCACCACATCAAAAATGGAATATTGGTTCAATTGTTTTTCACAAAGTAAACATGGGATTCCCAGGCATCAATCCACACTAGTCCCATTGTTTCCAATCAAGTCGTAGTAAACTTTAGCTGGATTGGGACCAGCTAAGAAAATGAAACTGAATATTGAACTTCAACACACAGTAATTGTATTACCAATTTAACACAAATCTAATTTGGTTAACTAATCCAGACAGAAGCATCCTTGCTAAAGCAGGTGCAGGAGGCAGGAATCTCTTAATAGGGAAAAATTCAGTACACATCAGAGGTAGCATAGGCAGATTTCGCTGTAAATCAGGAAGTCCAGATTCAAATATTTTCTCTGCCACTGATTGATCTAAGCTGAGCTCCCTCCTTTCAGCCCATCTATGAAATATGGCCTTCCTCTCAGGGTTATTGTAGGAGTTGCAGAGATTAACTTACACAAAGTGCTATGTGAATGCAATGTCATTATCTAAAGCACTACAGAAATGCTAAGCATTAGCATTCCTAAATATTATTAGCACCAACAAGCTTTTAAAATAATGAGACTACGGGTGTCACATATTAGGAACATCTTGTCTGAAAAGCCCCCGCCATACAGTGAACAGCCTTTGCCTCTTTCCTAAAAGCCTGAATTCATAAAATGAGTGACGTGTGGAAGCCACTTTGGGTTTGCTGTCTGTGGATTCTGCCTCCATGTAGCAAACTGTGGGTGTTCAGCATGAACTGGGCGAAAACCCCTAGAGCACACAGCGAGACACACAATGGACAGCAGTGGACTCGTAATCTGGGGAACCAGGTTTGTGTCTCCGCTCCTCCACATGCAGCTGCTGGGTGACCTTGGGCCAGTCACACTTCTTTGAAGTCTCTCAGCCACACTCACCTCACAGAGTGTTTGTTGTGGGGGAGGAAGGGAAAGGAGAATGTTAGCCGCTTTGAGACTCCTTAAGGGGAGTGAAAGGCGGGATATCAAATCCAAACTCTTCTTCTTCTTGAATATTTAACATGTGGAGATGGCTGCCACAGGGAGACATTTTGAAGCCATCTCCGTGTAGCAAATGTTTCTGTCTCACCCAGATGACTCTCCGAGCCATGCAAGTCCCTCTCTTCTTCCCTGCCACAAACTTGTACTTAAAAAAATGCTGGGAACAGCACGAGACTATTTTTGCAAATGCAAAACCTTCTGGGTGACAGTGATGAAAGCCAGACCAGCCAGTCCTATTCCCCTGCAGGGTGTTTCAGTTCTGCTGCCTCACTTTCAGCTGTCAACTGCTTGCCAGCCAGGAGACTCCTACATATGTCTTTGTGGGTATGCGTTACTGTTACAGCTTTCAGTGCACAGAACAGCAAACATCTGTGTCACTTCCTCCTACCTGCTAGGAATTCTTTCAGGTAAACAAAATGATTGATGCTTTGTCTAATATATTCTCTATGAAGCTGAAAACAGACCTCTGGGCACTTTGCCATGCTTACCCTCCTGCATCAACTCATCTCATAGCCACGCTTCATTCCAGCACACGATGTCAGTTCTATGATCCCATGTCTAATCCTGCCCAAATGCACAGGAGCCTCATTAATGACTAGTTTCATTAGGGACATTTCAAACCCTTTTCCGTGACAAAGACACAAGAGTCCTGCCCACCAAAGGCCTCTGTTTGGGGAAGGGCTGTAGCCAGCAGCATGCAGTGATTTTTTTAATATATATTTTTGTATGGGAACAGTCAGGGAGCATTGCTTGCGAGGGCAATGGGGATGGAGGGCTGATATTGTGAGCATGAGCATCATGCCTCCCTCCCTAAGCTGGGCAAAAGCTTCCTGGTCTTTGGGAAAGAGGTGCCAGGCGTCTGAAATGATAATGGAGCTGAAATATACTCAGAGTTGAGAGTGGATTTCATGCTCTTTATTTAGCTCATAGTGGTGAGGAGAAATGGAAGTTCCCTCAGAATGTCTGCTTTATATACATTATTTACACAAAGGGGCCCATGTGATTGGCTAATTCCGGGATTCACCTGTAGGCCAATCTGGTTGCGGATTCACTTCCACCTGGAGCTGGATTGGGTGGCTCCTGTGGACCAATCAGACTGCTGCATTCTGAATCCTACTGTTCTAGGACCAATCAGACTGCTGCATTCTGAATCCTATTGTTCTAGGACCAATCAGACTGCTGCCTTTTGGATCCTATTCAACTCAGTACATAACAGGAGCCCTCCTGCCTCTTTCCCAAAGCCAGGCAGGCTTGGGGAAGGTGGCAGGAGGGTTCTTGGTTGGAGCATCACACCTCCCTCCCTAAGCCAGGCAGAAGCTTCCCAAGATTTGGGAAGGAGGTACCAGGTCTTATTACTTTAATACTCTTTTTTTTTTTTAATAGTTTTTATTGAGAATTTCAACATAACAAATTATCAAAACATATCATCTTCTTTTCATTCCCCCCCATTTTCCCTCAGTTCCTCTCTCTGATTTTTCAACACGTATTCTTCTCTGCATATTATCAAATTGTCAAGATCCTTAAATCATCTGTCTATTATGTTAACAATCAATAAATTTGTGTATGTTTATTCAAAACCTTATAACTTTAACACTCTTAATTTATCAGGAACATTTAGGGGACTAGCCTAGTCCCACTAGTCCACTAGCCACACGCCACTGGCATACAGAAGGTCCCAGGTGGAGCTGGCAAAGACTCCCAGAGAGCTGCTGGCAGCACGGTCTTATGACAGCATGCAGAATGCACCCATATACCACACCATATATAGCAGCAGCAGCTTATGTCAAGGTGGAGTACACTGCCAACTGTTACATGCACCATTATTACTGCACCATCACTACAATGGCTGAAGCACTCTTGGCACATTGCTCCAACCAAGTAATTGCCAGCGGCATGTGGACCGCTGTGCACTTTTGAGACAGCAGGTACGCAGTACCTGGTGCCAGCTCTTTTGTTTGCTGAGCTAATACTATTGAGCACGATCCAACAGTGTCAGTCTGCTGGTGTCCTCTAACCCTGTGGAGCATATGAGGGCATTCAGGAGAATGCAGAACGAAGGGTGAATCACCAGATATTGCCTCCCTCTCCTATTCCATGGTAGGATTCCATTCTTTAGCAGATGCACACTATCAGATACCACTCTTTGAAAGAAGCTACAATGTCCGGTAGAATCTGCGAAACAAAGCTTTCCTCTTTTTTTTGCACAACACTTAAAAGTTACATTGTATACCTATTTGCTGATAAGTTTGTCCCATGGAACCCAGAAGGGCTCTGGTACACTAGATTGCAGGCTTACTCTCTGACGGAATGGGTCTGGGTGTTCTGAAGGAACCAGGGGTGCTCCTAGATCAGGGGTCAGCAAACTTTTTCAACAGGGGGCCAGTCCACTGTCCCTCAGACCTTGTGGGGGGCCGGACTATATTTTGAAGGGGGGGAAATGGAATGAATTCCTATGCCCCACAAATAACCCAGAGATGCATTTTAAATAAAAGGACACATTCTACTCATGTAAAAACACGCTGATTCCCGGACCGTCTGCAGGCCAGATTTAGAAGGCGATTGGGCTGGATCCGCCCCCCGTGCCTTAGTTTGCTTACCCATGTCCTAGATTCATCTTTGTCACTTGAGACACAGGTAGTCTTAGTGGCTAGGACTGCCTTTTACCAGCTTCAGTTGGAAAGACAGCTATAGTCATTCCTGGGCCGAGATAGCTTGGCCACTGTGATCTTGGCATTGGTAATCTCAAACCTGGATTACTGCAACACACTCCACGTTGGGCTTCTCTTGGGCTTAACCTGCAAACTGAAGCTGTTGCGGGATGCCGCAGCTAGACTGCTGCCTGGAATACCCTGTGGACATCATAGAATATCTCTGCTAAAAGAGCTGCACAGGCTGCCAATATGTTACTGGGGCAGTTCAAGGTTTTAGTGCATTTAGTATTTAAAGACGTAAACAATTTAGAACTAGCCCAGGATATCTAAGGGACTGCCTTATCCTGTCCAGTAACTGCACTCCTCAGAAGAGGCATTGCTGAGAATATCCTATGCCACATAGCAGGTGCACTAGAAACTGAGCTTTTAGTGTTGCAGTTCCAGCCCTCTGGAGTTAATCACCTGGTGAAATCAGACAGGTGCCCAGCGTGATGGTGTTTAGGTGTCTATTGAAGACATATTTGTTTAAGAAGGCTTTCCCTGACGTGTAACTCTGTCATTCATTTGATGAAATTGCTTCATTGGTTCCAGAGTGTTTATGAATGGTTTTATTGTTTCAGAGCTTGTTTGAGTGACTTTACAGTCCGTAGAGCTTGTGTTTCATTCTGTGTTCACCCTTTCAATGGCTTTAGGCTGTGAAGTTGTTGTTTTTTATCTCTTTAAGAACAATAATACCCTTTGTCTTCAATATGCTGTCCAAAAGAGTGCCAATATTTTGGAAATAATATTGAAAACATTTCTCATGGTGGAACGATATTTACAGTCTTGAATACATTTGGCACAGTCTGTTATCTCATGTTATTATGTTGTTGTTAAATAAGTAGATTTGCATTTATGAAGCTATTTTTAGTGCCTTACCTCTATTTGTTATTCCCCTCCTGACATAATGCTGCAAAAATTATCCCATCTGTACAGCTGCCTATGCTGCTGCAAACATTTCTTGTCTATAGGTAGCCAATTAGAACCAATATTTATTCAGGGAGAGTAAAAGAGCTTTGCAGAAAACTGGGACGGTTCATTAGTTCCTACCTGCAGACTGTATTAGGCACATACGGTGCTGCTGCGAATGCCATGACTGATTCAATTAGATCCTCCTCTAATTCCCATTGCTTTCCTGGCTGCTAATGTTTGGTGAGCTTTGATTAACATGCAGCCTGTTACTCACAAATAAGTCACTGTATTACGAGGAAAGTGGGAGAAAGAGAGATTGGCAAAGCTATAGTGATGATCCCCATGAAGTCTGTGGCAGGAGTCCATAAAAATGTGAGGATCAAACCAAAGTCCTATCCAGGGGCCAGGCAGATGTCTATGGGGAGGCCCACAAACAGTGGCAGACTTTGGCCTTTAAAATTTCAGTGGTGCCCCGTGTGATGCCAAAATCTGGCACCCCCTGCCTCTCGCCTTCTGTTGTTCATCATTGTTGCAGCGCCCCCTACAACATCCTCTTGACTCAGCACCCAGTGCTGGTGCCAGGAGCGAGCCAGCAGCAAATCACATGGAGCAGGTGAAATTAATTCTTTCTTAGAAAAACAGGATCGGCTCAGGAGTGTCAGGCCAAATGAATGCAGCAACTCTTCTTCAACAGGTCTTGCCCCTATGAGGCAGTTGTGGAGACTGAGGGTCCCCACTTTCCCATGTCTCCTCCTCTCCCAGGTTGTTCCCAAGCAATCTGAGACTGTGTCTGCCTTTGCTCCTCCCACTTCATATCTCTTCTGGTTCTGGGAGATTGGGGGGGGGGGAGAAGCTTGTTGCAGCAGAAGGCTGAGATACTTGTGCTTCTTCACCAACCTGACTCCTCCCTGCCTCTTGGTTTCCCTCCTCTCTTGCTTCTGCTTCTGGACTTCCCTTTGTCACAGACTTTTCCTGCTCACTGAGCCTTGTTACTTCTTCAGCTTCTGACCCCCCCCCACCTCCTCTTCCCAGTCTTCTCCCTCTGACCACACACTGTTGTCCCACCACCAATCCCCTGGCTATGAGAATTCTTTCCTTGGTTGTTCCCCAGCTGGTTCCATGACAGTGGGCAAACCAGCTGGGCTTCCCTAAACCTGCCTCTGCGGTAGGGTGCTGGCCTTGCTTTCTCTGGACTATAAACAGGCACATGCTTGTTTCAGAAGTTTCTATCTATTTTGACATTTCAGAGTTGTTCTAAGGTGTTGTTGTTGTTTAGTCGTTTAGTCATGTCTGACTCTTCGTGACCCCATGGACCAGAGCACGCCTGGCACTCCTGTCTTCCACTGCCTCCAGCAGTTTGGTCAAACGCATGCTGGTAGCTTCGAGAACACTATCCAACCATCTTGTCCTCTGTCGTCCCCTTCTCCTTGTGCCCTCCATCTTTCCCAACATCAGGGTCTTTCCCATGGGACTCTGTTCTAAAGTAGTGATGGCCAAACTCGGCCCTCCAGCCTGTTTTGGGACTACAATTCCCATCATCCCTGACCACTGGTCCTGTTAACTAGGGCTGATGGGAGTTGTAGTCCAAAAACAGCTGGAGGGCCAAGTTTGGCCATCACTGTTCTAAGGACTACAGTGGTACCTCGTGTTACAAACGCTTCGGGTTACAAACACTTCAGGTTACAGACTCCGCTAACCTGGAAGTAGTACCTCGGTTTAAGAACTTTACCTCAGGATGAGAACAGAAATCGTGCGGCGGCAGTGGGAGGCCCCATTAGCTAAAGTGGTACCTCAGGTTAAGAACAGTTGCAGGTTAAGAACGGACCTCCGGAACGAATTAAGTTCTTACCCAGAGGTACCACTGTATTGAGATTTACAGCCAACCTACCCATAAAGCTTGGAGCGAGTGGCAAGTACAACCCCCTCTCTCTCTGCATGCACACACACACAGCAGAACAGAATAAAATGTTCAGAATAAAATCTCCACACAATTTCTTGATTTAGCTCTAATCTCCTAAAACCAACCCCAATATTGCAATCCTTCTGAAAGGATGTAACCCTATGCACAATCCTATTCCTAAAGTATGGCAGAACAAACCACACTCCCTTTGTGCTGGGCTTGGGGTGTGTGTGTGGATTGGGCAGAAGTACAACAGCTCTACTGACCTGTGTTAGCTTTCCACATCACTGCTAGCAAAGAGCTCCTCCTCCTGCTTACGGAATGTGTGAGTGGGTGGATGTGCTGCGTAAGGCAGGATCCTTATTGCTGGCAGACAGCAAAAAGTCTTGAAAGAGCTGTCCTGGGTTTCATTGACCCTGTAACAGCATCGGGGGTCCAGGTAGGTGCAGCAATCTGCCTCCCCAGACCCGGCCACCAACAGCTCCCTAAGTCCCACTGAATTTTGTGAGCCTTACTTCTGAATAAACATGTTTAGGATTGCCCCGTAAGTTGGGAATGAAGTATGTAACGTGCTTTGAATATTTCCTCTCCCCACTCCCCCTGAAAACAGGTGTGGATGCAGCTGGGTTTTGTTTTGGTTTTTTTTCCACTTCATATGCAGAATGCTGCCCTGAACATGCACACCCATCTCTCTCTACCTTTCCAGTCTTCCAGAAAGATATTGCATGCTATTTTGAATTTTCCTCCCGCTATAAAAAGTAGTCATGGAGAGGGGATTCAAACTGATGTACCAACTTGAAATAAAGAATGGCACCATCAGTGCATGCACCAAAATTCTTTCTGGAGTTCCAGGGAGTTGTTGGCATCCGTCTGTCTCAACAGGCAATGGAGTGCACCTCCAGGAGTCAAACCGCTGTGTTAAGCACCAAAGTGGCCTCCCCAGAGTAAGTCCTTGGCTGCCCAGATGACAAGACCACCCTCCCCCCACCTTTGCTGATGTGGTCCAAAGGAAAGCAGAGCAATACAGTGGTACCTCGGGTTACATATGCTTCAGGTTACATACGCTTCAGGTAACAGACTCTGCTAACCCAGAAATAGTGCTTCAGGTTAAGAACTTTGCTTCAGGATGAGAACAGAAATCGTGCAGCAGCGGCGTGGCGGCAGTGGGAGGCCCCATTAGCTAAAGTGGTGCTTCAGGTTAAGAAAAGTTTCAGGTTAAGAACGGACCTCCGGAACGAATTAAGTACTTAACGTGAGGTACCACTGTACAGTTTGACACCAACTTGGCTGCAGGATTTGCCAGAAGGAGGCAGGCAAGGTGCTATCCAACCTTTTTAGGGATTCCATTGCTAAACAAACATGCAGACTGAATGCTAAGTACAACAGAGGCCTCAATTTACTTGGGCAAGTATCAGAGAGTTGTTTAATTCTGCAAAGAATATACCATTCAATTGGCTTTCTCCTGCTTGTTCATATTTACTTGGAAGTAAGGCCCATGACCTTCAGCAGGACAACTTTTCAAGTAAAAATGTTCAGGACTTGCATGCTTACTCAGAAGTAAGTTCTTCTGAATTTAACAGGGCACACTCCCAAATAAATATACATAGGTTGAACAGCTCTACTTACTCTGAAAAGCCACGACTTTCAAAGCAAAGGACTACAGCCTAACTAGGAAAACTACGTCTCCTTTTTCTCTGAGCTGTGGAATTCTTGGTTACTTTTTAGCTCCTTTCACCCCTAAACCTGAAAGTCGAAGGAGGAGCACCGTTATTATTATTTTTTAATCCTCTGCTAAGAGCATCTTTCTTTAAAGCGTTCTTGCAAACCCGCATACGCATTATTGTATAGAAAGTCTTAATCCACCACAGGGGTGGAGTCCGGAGAAGATAGGACGGAAAATAAGAAGATGCTTAAGGAAGACAGCTAACTGCTAGGCCTGTTATATATCTATATTAAATTAAGCAGTCGAGTGGGAAAAGTTTGCTGTGCTTTTCCACTCCTCCATCCACCAAGCAAGCCAGGAAAAAACCAAAACAGTCTCCTTTGCCCTCCACTCTGTGTCCCCTAGCAGGGAGGATCTTGCACTTACCCATGGCGATGGGAGAGTTCAGCTCGAAAGTTTGCTTCCCGGCCTGACCAAGCAGGCGAAAAAGAAATCCCGGAGCCAAGCCCGGAGACGCGCAGCAGTTTAGCGCTCGGCTGCCGTCGGTCGCAGCTTGGAAAGGAGGCGCATTCCGCGTTCCGGCGCCAGAGGCTCCTCCGCCGGCGAGGCGGCTCCGTCGCGCTTGCAAGGAGTCGCCGGATCGGGAGCTCGCGGCTCGGACGCCGGGGCAGCGACGGAAATGCCGCCCGCAGATATACCGCAGCTCCGAGAAGAGGGGGAGATGCAGGATCGGACCATCGGGGCTGAAGAAGCTGAAGTTCCCCTACGGGGTCTCCGGGACTCCGAAGTTTTTTGCCTTCTTCTTCTCCCTAGTGGACGGGGCCGAACAGCGCCACGTTGCTCCAGCCCTGCCCACTGCAGCCGGGAGGGGGAACCTCTCGAGCAAACGGGGGTTTGTCCTGCAAGTGGCGAGGCTGGCGAGCAGCTCGTCGGGGAAGGAAAAGCCCTCTCTGCCCTGTTGCTCCAAGGTCCGCCTGCAAAGGGAAACTGCGAAGCTCGGCTTCTCCTTTTGCCAGCTTCGTCCTCTGCCACTCTCAGGGCTCTTTCACGCCTAAGGAGTGTTGCATACACGTGGGAATGGGGCAAACGCGTGTCGGGTTTTCAGAGAAAGTCGATCCTTGCAGGAGTGGGACATGCCACTGGGGCTTATGATGTTGCCTTACAGCACTGGGGGAACCAGCTAGGGAAGAAAAAGGTCAGGGCCGAGGCAGTGGTGGTGAGACAAGGGAGAAAAGTGAGAGGAGGTGTCGGAAACTGAAGAGGTAACAGGGCTTAGTGGGGGGGGGGGGAATCTGTCAGGCAGAGATGAGTCTGGCTGGTGAAGACTCATTGATGTCTCCCCTGCCTACTGCAACAAGCTTCTCTCCCCCTGGCACTCCCATAACCAGAAGAGGCATGCAAAGGGCAGAGTAGAGGTTGACTTTATGCAGGCAGAGTCTCAGGTTGCTTGGAAAAAGCCCTGGAAAGGAGGGGACTTAAGACAGCTGTGGGGAGTTGGGGACTTTTCAGTCTCTGCAGCTGATTCATGGTGCAAGACCTACTGAAGAAGAATTGCTGTCCTCATTAGGCCTGACACCCCACCAAGACTGTGCGGATTGTGTTCTTGCTAATAAAGAGTTAGCTACAACTTGAATGGTGTGATTTATTGCCAGCTCACTCCTGGCAACTGGCCTGTCGTGATTGGTGCTGTCTACTCTCTACACTGGCCAGAAGCAGTTATCCAGGATTTCTGGACTGAACCTGAGACCTTCCACATGCCAAAACCACGTGCTCTTCCCACTGAACCAGACAGCCCTCCATTGTGGATCATGGAAATCGTGCCTGTATCTACACAGCTGACTGGTTCGTGGATATGTTTATTTGCACAAGCATTAAGTTGCTTGGTCAGGTGTGTGGGGGAACATACCTTGTGAACCAGCCCTTAGTTTTGGTTAGTAAAGAAGATTTCTGAGCATGGAGAAGAAGATCATTTCCCCCTTGGGGCAAAATGCAAAACCTGTTAGGTAACAGAGAAAATAAAATCCATCACATCAGCACACAAGTAAACAATTGTTGCAAGTCACTGTCCATTAAATCGAGTCAAGTGATGTGACACTATTGCAACAACTGGATTAAATGTATTAAAGAGAAGCAAACAAGCATTGTGGTTTTGCACTGTTCTTTTGCCAACCTTGCTGTAAGGCAAAGCAAAACAGTGATACCATTGGCGGCGGATTTGGAGCACCATCAACAGCAGCAAATGGACATGTTTCAATCAGTGCATCTTAAAGTTCTTGTTTCACTTTTTATGGCTGGGGTGTACAGTGGTACCTCAGGTTAAGTACTTAATTCATTCCAGAGGTCCGTACTTAACCTGAAACTGTTCTTAACCTGAAGCACCATTTTAGCTAATAGGGCCTCCTGCTGCCGCCATGCCACCGGAGCACGATTTCTGTTCTCATCCTGAAGCAAAGTTCTTAACCTGAAGCACTATTTCTGGGTTAGCGGAGTCTGTAACCTGAAGCGTATGTAACCTGAGTGTATGTAACCCGAGGTACCACTGTACTTTGTATTGTCCAACTCAGGCACCAAAATGTATTAAGCCAGCCCTTGAGATGTGAAGGCCTGGCGCAACCCCATACTCGGTCACGACTGGACCTAATGGTCAGGGGTCCCTTTACCTTTACTAATTAAGGTTGGGAAAGACTCCCTGTCTGAAATTGTGGAGAGCTACTGCCAGTCATTGTAGATGCGGGTGGCGCTGTGGTCTAAACCACTGAGGCTCTTGGGCTTGCCAATCGGAAGGTTGGCAGTTCAAATCCCTATGATGGGGTGAGCTCCCATTGCTCTGTCCCAGCTCCTGCCAACCTAGCTGTTTGAAAGCACACCAGTGCAAGTAGATAAATAGGTACCACTGCGGTGGGAAGGTAAACGGTGTTTCCGTGCGCTCTGGTTTCCGTCACGGTGTTCCGTTGTGCCAGAAGCGGTTTAGTCCATAGCTGTCAACATTTCCCTTTTCTTGCGGGGAATCCTATTTGGAATAAGGGAATTTCCCTTAAAAAACGTTGGCAGCTATGGTTTAGTCATGCTGGCCACATGACCCGGAAAGCTATCTGTGGACAAATGCCGGCTCCCTCAGCCTGAAAGCAAGATGAGCACCACAACCTCATAGTAGCATTTGACTGGACTTACTTAACCATCCAGGGTTCCTTTACCTTTTTACCTTAGATAGACCAATGGTGTGACCCTGTTTAAGGCAACTTCCTAGGTTCCTCTTAGCTATGAGTGGCACACAGGATGTTGAGGGGGGAAAGAGGTCTGCACTTATGCATCCTTAAATAGTTGTGTGGCAAAGGGTGTATTAGCCAGCATGACGGAAACAGCTGAAATTCCCTCTTCTACGTCTTCTGTTACAGACGTAAGAGCCCTGCCCCCTCTTTTTCACCTGGCCACCAGAATTATGTGAGTGACAGTAGCTTAGTGGTACTGCATCTGTCTTGAATGCAAAAGGCCAGAGGTTCAATCCTAGGCATCTCCAGGTACGGCTGGGAACCCTGGAGTTGCTGCCAAAATTTTCATTTGAGTAATATTCTTAAAAAATAAATAGAGAGGGAGAGCTGTGCAGCGCCCCTTCAGCGAAGCGGGAGGAGAAATGGAATCAAGTATTAGTCTGATAATGATGTACAAACATCCAATTATGTATTTGAAATATTAGCTCTCATATCTCCAAGAAAGGAGCCCTTGAAGCTTGTTTGGCTGTTGCTGTTTTCCTTGTTCAAACAAATGCACATTTCTTCCCATTTTCTGATGTTTAGAGTCCGGGGCGGGGGGAGCTTATCTTATGGTTTTTAAACACCTGAAGTTGATGGTAAAAATAATTATATTTTCATTGAGCATATTTGGAAATATGATTGAAATCTCTCTCTTTTGATCTGAAATGTGGGCATCACGGGCTCCTTTTGTTCTCTCTCAAAATCATATTATCCAAAATATATTTGAAAGTGTTAGAAGCTATCCAGATTAGCTTCCCATTCAACTCCTCTAGTTTCAATTTCAAAAGAACCATTTAATATCGTTTTTTGCATCCTGAGTATATTTAGAGAGGGACAGCCATCTTCTGAATGGTCTAAAATGACCTCATACATTAAGGGTGGCCAATAAGATTGAAGGGAGTGGTTTTTCAAAGAGATTCAGAAATGGGACTGGAAGGGCTTGGTAACCATAGCAACTGCTTCAGTGATGTTAATCATTATGCTAATAGTGATTGGCACTTAGGGGTTTGACCGTAGGTTCTGTGCACTTTCCAGTAGCTTTAATTGCTGAAAGGCAGAAAATGATAGTTTGATTCTATGAAGATGACACCAAAGAATCTTAAAATAATTTGAAGGAATTTGCAAAAGAAATCAGGAAATGCAAATTATGCATGGTCTTTGGTCAGGGATGCTAGGAGTTTTAGTTCAGCAATATCTGGAGGGTCAAAGTTTCTTCACATGTGGGTTAAATGATACAACCCTAGGTGTATTTGCAGACCAGCATCCCTCAACCTGGTGCTTTCCAGATGTTTTGAACTACAACTACTATCAGCTCCAGCTGCCATGGCCTATGATCAGGGTTGATGTAGTCCAAGAATGGGACACGGGTGGTGCTGTGGGTTAAACCACAGAGCCTAGGACTTGCCAATCAGAAGGTCGGCGGTTTGAATCCCCGCGACGGGGTGAGTTCCCGTTGCTTGGTCCCTGCTCCTGCCAACCTAGCAGTTCGAAAGCATGTCAAAGTGCAAGTAGATAAATAGGTTCCGCTCTGGCGGGAAGGTAAACGGCATTTCCGTGTGCTGCTTTGATTCGCCAGAAGCAGCTTAGTCATGCTGGCCACATGACCTGGAAGCTGTACGCCGGCTCCCTCGGCCAGTAAAGCAAGATGAGCGCCACAACCCCAGAGTCGGCCATGACCGGACCTAATGGTCAGGGGTCCCTTTACCTTTACGTCCAGAAACATCTAGGGGGCACTAGGTTGGGAGAGGCTGGCCTAGGGACACTTGCTTTCAGAGCAGAAGGACAGGAGGTCCTGCAGAAACAGAAAGAGCTCATGACTTACATCCTTGTGTCATTTTGTGTCACATCACTCCTTTTGACCCTCTTCAAAACCTCTCGTTATTATAAGACTGCTTTTTTTGGGATGATGTTCCATTGCCTCAACTCTGACTTGACCGCTTGATTCTTAATTCCAGCCAGTGTCAGCCAGCACATCAGCCCAAAACAGCTAGAAGGTTAAGGTTACCAGTTGTCCCCATTTCCCAGGGACAGTGCCCAGATTTACAAATCAGCCCCCTGACAAAATCCATCTATTTAGTAGGAAGTTGAAAAGTGTCCCCATTCATTGAAAAAAATCTGGTAACCTTATAGAAGGCACCAAATTGGTGAAACCTGCCCTAGAGTGAAATAGCGGAAAGGCAAGGGGGCAGGATCCTTGTAGCTTTAACAATTGTGTAGAACAGGGAATTTTTGGAGTGATGCAGCTTTTTTCATCTCTGCATTGCAGACCCCCTCTCCCACAAGTCCTACTTTTGCACAGCTTTTAAAAGCACAAGAGCCCTATTCTCCTTTGTACATCATAACCATGGGCCTCAAATAATCAAAGTCCACCTTTCAAAATCAACAAAATCATAAGGGTTTCAGCCAGCCTCTTTCGCTCTCCTTCTAAGAGTAGGCATTAGCCAGTTATTGTTTTTATCTTTATGCTGCAAAAAAAGCTGAATTTTCTCATTCTTGCAGGTGCAGTCCTTCTTACAGGCACAAGAGTTGGTCAGCTGGCAACCCTACAAAAGCATAAAGACGAATTGATCACCCTAGTAGTTACGAGTTGCTTGGCAGCCCTATACCTAGCACACCTGCTTGATTTGTGAATCTTATTTAGGAAATGAACCAATGCCACTATGCTCAGAGGTTCTTGACAGGAAAGATCAGATTCAGTTTTGAGGGAAGGTAGAGAATAGGTGAAAATCATTTCAATACATGTATAGGAGGAACAAAAGGACATAGGGTCTAGAAGTCACAACGTTGGGCAACTTACAGTTCTTTAAACAAATATAAAATTGAGGGATGGCTCAGTTGGTAGAGCATGAGACACTTAATCTCAGGGTTGTGGGTTTGAGCCCCATGCTGGGCAAAAGATTCCTGCATCACAGGGGGTTGGACTAGATGACCCTTGAGGTCCCTTCCAACTCTACAATTCTCTGATTCCATGTTTCCTTTATTTGTCACAACTGGATTTTAATAACCTTACTTGTTTTCAACTACTTATTATAAATGTTTTAATCTATTGTGTCCTGCCTAGAGTCGCTGGGTTGACAAACTGGTAAATGATTACCATGGAGGCAACACAGAAACAGAGAGGCATGGGACTGATTTTCAGGTCTGCTTTCTTCCACTAAGGAGTTGTTATTGTAGTATCTTGCAATGATAAAATTCAGGTTCAAATCATTGTTATAAAAGGATTTAATTAATGCACAAAGCCACCACAGGAGCATCAGTCTGAAATTTAGAAAAATCATGTAAATTGTGCCCCAGAGGAAACAGTAAGCACGTCATGTGCAAAGTCAGAATTGTCAAAGGATCTGTTCATTCCCCACAATTCTTCGCAGATACAGTTCCATGCAGAATCTGTGATCAGGCGAATAATATAGACTCTTATAACAATGTCCCAAGTCAATTTGTGATGTTCCCTTAGCTACTGTTTTAGAAAGCTCTGGAGCACCCATGATTTAACCCCCGCTACCTCCACGATCTCTCCATCATGATCTAGATTTCTCAGCCATGTATCCTCCATGTGATGGCATCAAAATCTCAGCCCAGTTTTTTCTCCATTTAATACTGTACAGATTTAGCCTTTCCAGAGAAGTAAAAACAAACAAAAATCCCGTCACCAACAACAAACCATTTCCCACTTCCCTGTCCTCGGAAGCACCCTTAATTCGGAAACTGGTCAGCAGAGGGTGCCATACCCTCACGTCAGCATATTGAAGCTGTTATATTCATGGTTAAGGAATTGTAATGAGCCACTTTGCTTGGAGGAAATGTTGGATGGAACTACCGGGTCAGGTAATACATATTCCCCCAGCTCCGCTAATTTGAGTGGAAGACAACCACTTCTCATTCCCCTCTTCTAAATTAGATCAATGAGAGACATAGATAAACAAGGAGATTTTTATTTAGTATGGCATGCCTTTATAGATAGATGGTCAGACTAATGGTCAGACACAGTGTAAGGCAGGGGTCAGCAAACTTTTTCAGCAGGTGGCCAGTCCACTGTCCCTCAGACCTTGTGGGGGGCCGGACTATATTGGGGGGAGGGAATGAACGAATTCCTATACCCCACAAAAACCATTTTTCTTGTCTCCTGCAATTGAAGCACCTTTCTGGCTCCCAGTGCTTGCTGATCTCAGTTTAGGATTTCTTTTCTGCCTGCAACCCTGACTTGACCAGCTTTGTTGCCTGTCCATCTACTTGATCTACAGCCAAAGTTTTTTGTTTTTTAAAATATATTGTATTGTTGTGAATTTGGGAGATTCCATTGTTGAAGGAGCTAGGCAAGTTTCTTGGTGAGTTTACGGGTCTTAAGTAGTAATAATAATAATAATAATAATTTTTATTTATACCCCGCCCTCCCCAGCCAAGGCTGGGCTCAGAGCGGCTTACAAGCAATAATAAAAACAAGTTAAATGATGACAACTTAAAAACAAAATTAAAAAATACAACATTAAAATACTGAAACATTAAAATGTAGCCTCATCGCAGAAGGAGAAGGAAAAGAAAAAAGAAAGAGAGGGAGGGAATCAAATTGGCTCCAAGCCAAAGGCCAGGTGGAACAACTCTGTCTTACAGGCCCTGCGGAAAGAAATCAGATCCTGCCGGGCCCTGGTCTCGTGAGGCATTCCACCAGACCGGAGCCAGAGTTGAAAAGGCCCTGGCTCTGGTTGAAGCCAATCTAACTTCCTTAGGGCCCGGGACCACAAGGGTGTTGCTATTTATGGACCCTGAGGCTCTCCGTGGGGCATACCGGGAGAGGCGGTCCTGTAGGTACGAGGGTCCTAGGCCGTGAAGGGCTTTAAAGGTCAAAAGCAGCACCTTAAATCTGATCCTGTACTCCACCGGGAGCCAGTGCAGCTTAAAAAGCCCTGGGTGAATATGCTCCCATGGCAGAGACCCCGTGAGGAGCCTCGCTGCAGCATTCTGTACCCGCTGGAGTTTCTGGGACAGCTTCAAGGGCAGCCCCGCGTAGAGCGAATTACAGTAGTCAAGCCTGGAGATGACCGTCGCATGGATCACTGTGGCCAGGTCGGGCGGGAAAGGTAAGGGACCAACTGCTTGATGCGGCGAAGGTGGAAAAATGTCGCCTTGGCTGTTGCTGTAACTTGCGCCTCCATGGAAAGGGAGGCGTCAAGGATTACACCCAAACTCTTAACGGAAGGCAATGGCACTAATTGGGCCCCCGCAAGAGAAGGGAGTTGGTCCCTCATCCCCATGCCATCCCGACCCAGCCATAGGACCTCTGTCTTCGAAGGATTTAGTTTCAATCGGCTCCCACGAAACCATCCAGCCACAGCTTCCAAGCATCTGGTCAGCGTGTTCGGGGCCGAGTCAGTGTGGCCATCCATCAGCAGATAGAGCTGAGTGTCATCAGCATATTGGTGACAGCCCAGCCCAAAGCTCCGGATAATCTAGGCAAGGGGGCGCATAAAGATGTTAGAAAGCATTGGGGAGAGGATTGGGCCCTGCGGCACTCCACACACCAAGGAGTGGCGCGACGACATTTCCCTCCCTAGTGCCACCCTCTGTCCCCGACCAGAGATAAAAGATCACAGCCACTTACGGGCTATGCCCTGTATCCCCACGTCTGCGAGGCGGTGGTCCAGAAGATCATGATCAACCATGTCAAAGGCTGCTGACAAATCTAAAAGGATCACCAGTCCTGACCCGCCTCGATCCAGCTGTCTATCGTCTGTTAGGGCAACCAGAGCCGTCTCGGTCCCAAAACCTGAAATGGATCTAAAGCCGATGTTTCCTCCAGAAACCTACCAAGCTGTTCAGCAACCGCTCTCTCAATTACCTTACCCAGATATGGAAGATTTGAAACTGGGCGGTAATTGGATAGGTCTAAGGGATCTAATGAAGTTTTCTTTAAGAGTGGACATACCACTGCTTCCTTCAGTTCCCCTGGGAATGTCCCTGTGTCAAGGGACAAATTGATAATTTCAACCAGGGGGGTCCGCACAACATCTGGACACTCCCTAATCAGCCAAGACGGGCACGGATCAAGGAGGCAGGTGGTGGGCCTACTAACTTGGAGGAATCTATCCACATCAGCAGGGAGTATTCGATTGAAATGGTCCAACACTGGACCTGAAGTCAGTCGAGGGGCCTCCAGTTCAGTCACTGTATCTAAATTGGCCGGGAGGTCACGGCGGAGAAACAGGACTTTCTCCGCAAAAAAGCTCGCAAATGCCTCACAGCTGTGGGTCGAATTTGTGCTTAAATTTGGTTGTCCTCCTAAGGACGTTATTGATCTAATTATTCTAAAAAGTTGTGCCGGGCGAGAGCTAGCGGATGCAATGGAAGCTGCAAAGTAAGATTTCTTAGCAGCTTTCATAGCCATCTCATAGGCTTTCATAAGCGTCCTATAAGATGTTCTTGAGGCTCTGTCACGAGTCTGTCGCCATACTCACTCTAGCCGTCAGAGATCCCGCTTCATTTTCCGGAGCTCCTCAGTAAACCAAGGGGCCTGGTTTCGACGGGGTCGCAGAGGGCGCTTAGGCGCGATCTCATCAATGGCTGCCAAGAGCCGGTTATTCCAGTCCTCAACAAGGTCATCTAATGAGTCGCCAGGAGGAGCAGGGTCCTGCAAGGCTTGTCGGAATCTATCAGGATCCATCAGTTTTCGCGGACGAGCCCAAATAGGTTCGCCACCCGAGCAGGGGAGGAGCGGGAAGTCAATCTTGGCTTTCAGAGCGTAGTGATCAGACCATGGCACTTCCACAGGGGGGAGCATGATCACATCTATGCCAGCCCCAAAGATCAGCTCCAGCGTGTGGCCTGCTTGAGGAGTGGGGCCCAAAACAAACTGGGAGAGCCCTAGTGTTGCCATGGAAGTCACTAGGTCCAGAGCCTGTGAGGAGGGAGCGGCATCGGCATGGACGTTGAAGTCTCCCAAAACCAGTAGGTTTGGGAACTCCAAGGCCCAGCCTGCCACCACCTCCAGCAGGTCTGACAGGGTGGCTGCAGGTGTGATGGGTGGTCGGTACACCAGCCAGACAGCCAAGCTCTCCTTGGTGCCCCACACGAGACCAACACATTCAATGCCGGAGATCGCCGGTGATGGCAGGGCTCTGAAAGAGCAATCCTCCCGGATTAACAACGCTACTCCTCCCCCCCCCGACCCACAGACCGCGATTGATGGAGGACAGAGAAACCTGGTGGTGTTATCTCATGTAGGGAGACTACTTCGCCTTCCCGTACCCAGGTCTCCATCGCGCAAGCCAGGTCAATCCCTGGTAGGGGTCTGGTCATTAGTATAAGCATAGCTGTCAACTTTCAGATTTGAAAATAAGGCATCAGCAGCCTCAAAAATAAGGGATCAGCAGCCTCACCTGTCCCGGGGACAGTCTACGGGAAATCTAACAATCCAGGATAGCAGTGGGAAGCAGCGGGAAACGGCGCTGGAATAAGGGAATTTTCCGCAAAAAAAGGGAAGGTTGACAGCTATGAGTATAAGGTCAGCAGGGGGCCGGTCCACTGTCCCTCAGACCTTCTTGGGGCCAGACTATATTTTTTGGGGGGGAATGAACAAATTCCTATGCCCCACAAATAACCCAGAGATGCGTTTTAAATAAAAGCACACATTCTACTCAAGTAAAAACACGCTGGTTCCCAGACCGTCCGCGGGCCGGATTTAGAAGGCGATTGGGCCGGATCCGGCCCCCGGGCCTTAGTCTGCCTACCATAATGTAAGGCAACTTCCTATGCACAAGCTGATCCAAAGTATGCTTCCCCAGAAAGTCCCACGGAGTGCTCCCCAGGAACCTTGCAAAGGACAGCCGCATCCTAGCAAAGTGCACTAACCGCTATGCCCCACTGACTGAGATCATAAGATACATATGCAGCCCAATACTTTTACTTGAAAGCACCGCTGGGCTCAACTAGGAGGCAAACGGACTGCGAAGTCTGCCAGGTTCAGATTCGGGTCTCGGCTGTTTCCGGCAAGTGCAGATTCCGGACTCGGCTGTTTCCGCCGGCCCAACTCGCCGTTCCCGCGCCGTACGTAAGAATCCTCGAGGAAAGGCGCACGCGCAATCCACCTCGGTGAGAGCGGCCGTTGGCGTCCAAGATGGCGGCTGCGCTGGCTGAGGGGAGCGCGGCCGGCGCCGACGCAGCGGCTGTTCCGCCCATGGCGGGGCTGGAGATGGTCCAGCAGGGAGCCGAAGCCCGGGTCTACCGGGGCCTCTTCCTAGGCCGGCCAACTGTGGCGAAGCACCGCTTCCCGAAGCGTTACCGGCACCCGCTGTTGGAGGAGCGCCTGAGCCGCAGGCGGACGGCGCAGGAGGCCCGCTCGCTGCTTCGCTGCCGGCGGGCAGGTGGGCTCGCGCCTCGAGACTGGACTGCGCGGGGCAGGGGCGCGGGCTGGGATTCCACCTCCTTTAAATTGCATGGCCGGCCCACCTCTTTGCAAGGAGTGCGGTTGGGAATTATAAGCAAAGCAACCACGCAGCTCGATTCCAGTCGTTACTGACCGAAACTAAACCGCCCCCCCCCCGCTATAGGCAAGGAAGCTGAAGACTGGTTATTGAAGGCGGTGGGCTAAGCCACAGGTGTTTGGGACAGGCAGGCCCCCCAGCAGACAGGGCCTCCGCTGTTGTTTTCGCCCCTTCCAAAAGTTCGTAAGGGTGCTCACTTTCGTTGGAGTATAATAAATATATTTTAAGTCTGCTTGGTAGATCTAAAAAGTGCCCTGGTAATGTTGGGGAAGGGGAAAGAACACCCCACCCCCAAGATTAACAGATTTTTTTTTCCTGTGGGCTTGTTAAAAAAAATAAAGCCACAATTCTCTGTTCCCTATTTTTGTATGGGGGTGGTGGTGTGTGATTTGTAGTTTAGTGAAAAGCATCCTATACACTTGTTCTGACCACTCACAGGTAGCCCAAACTCTTGGTTTGGCACACATGAGAAACAGGACGCATCCAATGGATGACAAAAAAGGAGAAACTGTTTTAAAGATGCTTAAGAGTAATGCATTATTAGGACATTCTTTTTTAAAAATATTACTCAGGTCTTGAACAGTGCCTCTGTGTTAGGCCAGTACTCATTCACATTTTGGGCCCTGGACCCACCTTTAGCCCAACACACATTTGCAGACCCTTTTTTTTTGTCCATATATTTTCATGGCGGTGGTACCGCTGCTGGTGGCCCTGACCCATTAGTTGAAAACCAATGTTTCAGGGAGTACTGCAGTCTTGGGCTAGGAATGTACAAGGAATGTTTCTGTTACCATTTTCTAAAAGCTGTGTTTTAATCTTCAAAGTTTTGCTAGGTCTGTTGAGGAAGTTCAGAATCTGAAATGACAGAACTATGCATAGCTAGGGTGAGAGAACTGTGTTGTTCTTAATGGAGTGGTGGCTCCATTGGTTTAAAGCCCCTCATGTGCTGCACACTCTTAGCTCCTTTGCCTTGCTACACACCACCCTCTTCCTAGATCCCTTGGATTCTGTGACAGAAAAGAAGTTAAGATGCGTAGCTGCGGCTTATACTGTCTTGCCACAACACAGTGAAGGCTGCTATAGAGCTGAGAGGGCTACTAAATGAGAAATATGCCTGCAACCTCTGTAACACAGAGGTGTTCTTGCATGTGTTCTGGAGACTTGAAGCAGGGGTAGTCTTTGTCTTGACTTCTTAACTTTTCAGAACCTGTATAATTTAAGGTAGATTATGTACAGGAACAGGGACACGGGTAGCGCTGTGGGTTGAACCACAGAGCCTAGGACTTGCCGATCAGAAAGTTGGCGGTTCAAATCCCCACGACGGGGTGAGGTCCCGTTGCTTGGTCCCTGCTCCTGCCAACCTAGCAGTTTGAAAGCACGTCAAATTGCAAGTACATAAATAGGTACCGCTCCAGTGGGAAGGTAAACGGCGTTTCCGTGCTCTGCTCTGGTTTGCCAGAAGCAGCTTAGCCATGCTGGCCACATGACCCGGAAGCTGTACCCCAGCCCCCTCGGCCAATAAAGCAAGATGAGCGCCACAACCCCAGAGTCGGTCACAACGACCTAATGGTCAGGGGTCCCTTTACCTTTATGTACAGGAACAGCTTGGTTGGCCAGAAGCAGCCTTTAGTTTCTTTACCTGACAAGGGGTACAGATGCTTGAACTTGCATGTGTATTCACTGCAAAAAAAATCTTTATTTGCTCTGAAGACTTGTCTGTATTTGAAGCTGTCTAATTATTATGTATAATTTTTGGTTGATGTACAAAGCTGAGGACTAATTGTTTATGGTTGTACTCTTCTTTTTTAGGGATCTCTGCACCTGTTGTATACTTTGTGGACTATGTTTCCAATTGTATATATCTTGAAGATATTGTGGGCTCAACTACAGTCCGGGACTATATTATGTCTGAACAGCAATCTAGAAATGATTCCAGCAACCTTATTCTGCTAGCAGAGAAGATTGGTGAGATTCTGGCACATATGCATGATGAAGATCTTGTGCATGGGGATCTCACAACTTCTAACATGCTGCTACGACCACCACCAGCAAAAAAGATGGAACTGGTGTTAATAGATTTTGGACTAAGTTTTATTTCTGCCCTACCTGAGGACAAGGGTGTTGATTTGTATGTCTTGGAGAAAGCCTTTTTGAGCACCCACCCGAATACAGAGGCTCTATTCAAAGCACTATTGAAGAAGTACTCGGCTGTATCTAAAAAATCGGCTCCAGTGATTAAAAAACTGGATGAAGTGCGGCTCAGAGGAAGAAAAAGATCCATGGTTGGATAAAAGAACACAGTGTGCACTGCAAAGAGTATTTAAATATCTTCAGTTACGTTACATTATGAAATAAATTTTAGCCTTTTTCATTGCTTTGTATTTATACAACAACTATGTTGGGGTTTTAGGACTTGACAGTATTTTGAGGCTGCTAGAGCACTACAATTCCACTTGCATCTGCTTATTTTCTTGAAGAAAACGGTTTCATACCGGCAACTGAAAAAATGAGTATTGAAAAAGAATATGAAAATGAAATAAATGCCAGACATTTCTTAGGTTGGGTTTATGTAGTCCAGTTATGTAGTCCTCCTAGTTTAGGCCAGTGCAAGATGGCCAGACTCCTGTTCACCTCACAGTTTGCATCACAGCCCCTTGTGCCAAATGGTAAATTGCCTTTAAAGGAAGTATCTTTAGCAGCCAGATTCAGTTTGGCACTTTTAAGCCTGCTGCAGTCAATGAGTTTAGGTCAGCTTCACTATATAGGAATAGGCTGTTGTGTTGCAACCCTGTCTACACATGTGAGTGTAAGCCTCGTTGAGTCCACTGGGCATTCTTACAAGTAAACATGTAGAGGAATGTGCCATATGACAGCAGTGCTAGGATTGAACACTAAGTATACTGAGAGTAAAGAGTGAGGGGATGTGAAATGGTGGTTTCTCTCATATATTGTCTATCTTTTGCTCTGATGGTGGATATTCTTTAATGAAGACAATCTGCTTTGATGGCAGGTGCAGCCCCAGCGAATTATTCATTTCATTTCTATACTGAATATATATATCTCAAAGTGGTTTACAAACCTACATTATAACATCAAATAAAGCAACCCAAACAAAACATTACAGAAGAAAGTCAAGTTTACATTCAAAGCAACATAATTAACAGCAAACTAAAATATTTTAAAGATTTCAAAATTAATGATTACAAAACAGGTCAGCTACAGAATGCACACTTAATGCAGCAAAGTTAACAAAGCTAGCATTTTTTTAAAAAAAATTCAAAATAAAACATTACTAAAGGAAGTCAAATATAAAATGCACTCTTAAAGCTAAATAAATAAATAGTTCAGTAGCACCAACACGGCTACCTACCTGAATCTTAAAGCAGCATAATTAGCAAGAGAGAAAAAATATAAGCATAGAACAGGAGTCAGCAAACTTCTCCAGCAGCGGGCCAGTCCGCTGTCCCTCAGACGTGGGAGGCCGGACTATATTTTTGGGGGGGAAAGAATGAATTCCTATACCCCGCAAATAACCCAGAGATGCATTTTAAATAAAAGGACACATTCTACTCGTGTAAAAATACGCCGATTCCTGGACTGTCCGCAGGCCGGATTTAGAAGGCAATTGGGCCGGATCCGCCCCCCAGGCCCTAGTTTGCCTACCTATGGCATAGAACATACCTGCTGTTATTGCTGCAAATCCTGCCAATGACGGTTCATGGTGGGCGGTGGCTGTGGAAAGTCAGGCTCAATGACCTGGGTCTGCACTAAGAGACACCTGAGTTAGTCTCTGGCCTCTTAGTCTCAGCTTTTGTAACTGGAGTCAGCCAGGGCCCTGCCCTCCCAGGCCAGTGGAAAATGGTCTGCAAGGCAGGGAGCAGGTCTTGTCTTCCAGGACTCACAGCAAAGATGGATGAGTCGGACGGGAGAAGCAAGCAGGACAACCCAGTTCCATGTAGAAAAGCTTCTTCCCTCGCTAATTCCACCCACAGGCTGCACCTGACATCAAAGCAGCAGAGTGATGAAGACAAAGAGCATCTGGTCAAAGATCTGAGACTGATGTATACATATGTGGGAGTAAATCTTTGTTCACTAGGTGCAAGTACGTGTATTTAGGAGTGGCCTGTAGCTATGTGGAAGGTTGAGGGTTAAAGCTTGGAATTCAAAGTACGCTTAGCTTGACAGCAAGATTGTATGAAATTATGATTATGCTCATCTTTCAATATACAGTGGTACCTCAGGTTACCACTGAGTTAAGTACTTAATTCGTTCCAGAGGTCCGTTCTTAACCTGAAACTGTTCTTAGCCTGAAGCACCACTTTAGCTAATGGGGCCTCCTGCTGCTGCCGCGCCGCCAGAGCATGATTTCTGTTCTCATCCTGAAGCAAAGTTCTTAACCCGAGGTACTATTTCTGGGTTAGCGGAGTCTGTAACCTGAAGCATTTGTAACCTGAAGCGTATGTAACCTGAGGTACCACTGTATATATATATATATGCAGTTCAGAAAGGAAAGAAATCAAATGCCCCAAATGAGAAAAATAGTAGGTAAGCATATCAACATACCAATATGATGCATGGATAGAAATGTTTCTGTCTGCTGTTGGCATTGGCAGGGGCTGGAAGCATCTCACATGTACTACTTCCCATCAATGTAAATGTGATGAAGACTGCATTCTATCCTCTTATCTGGGAAGGAAGCACCATTGAACTTAGTGATTACACTGCGATGGCTGCATTTGCTTGAGAGTAATTATTGAGTGCAGTGAGGCTTTGTCAATATGCATAGGAGCCAGCTGTATGGTTCCCTCTCATGAAACAGCTCTAAGCAGAGATTACAGAAGGTGGTTCAGAATTTGCCAACGTTTTTATTTTATTTATTAAATTTGTATAGCACCTTTCATCCAAAGATTTCAGGGTGATTCACAACATAATTTTTTTTCATGTTTCTGTATTAAATTCCCTGGACTTAAGCAACATGTTTTTCTGATGTGCTTCCTTTTGGTTTGGCTGGCAGAAAGTAAACAATATGCTGCTTTCACCCCCTCCCTCGATCTGCAGCAACTTTAAAGAGAAGATGCACCGACCCCCTGGGTCCCACCATGCAGTTTGGAGAGTGGCGGCTGCATATCTACTCGGAAGTAAACCCCACCGAGTTAATGCACAGGGGCAAGTGCGCAGAGGACTGCAGGCTCAGCTTTGCATTCCTGTGCGCGCTTACCTGACAGCCAACCCAGCGGTGTGACGCAGAGGGATCGATGGACCCGCTCGCGGGCATAGCGGGAACAGACAAGCGAGCGCAATGGAGAGACGCGTGGCCAGAGCGCGTGTAGCATCACTCCATTCGGGCGCAGAAAGGACAACGCATTCCTTACGCTTCCCTGAAGGGGGCGTGGAGTGACTTCCGAAATAGCACAGCGGCAGCGCGCGAAGCCTTGAGAACTAGCAGCCGCGAGGGCGGCGAGTTCGAGGCGGCTGTGCGCTGCTCTTACCCGTGCAAGCGTCCTAGCGCCCCGGGCTGCTCGTGTCCGAGGCGTATTCACTTACTTGCGAGAGAAAAACGGCTCCCGGCCAAGTGCCCGCTTCCCCTGTGGGTCCCGGGTTCCACCGGCCAGGGCATAGTTTTAGCACGCCATCGGCGCCCTGCTTCCTGGTCTTCGGCAGCGCTCACGTCTGAATAGACCCCCAGATGGCAGCGAGCAAGCTCCCTTCCTCAACTTCCGCGTTCCAGCCTAGCCAGTCAAAGTAATCAAATGTGCATGTCTGATGAATTCAAGCTGGGGTTGCTCCGAAATAAATGAACGTCGGAATGGCACCTCAAACTCCTTTCTGGCCCCAACGTGAATGCAATCTCGCAACACGTTACATTACGTCTTCTTTTTCATTTTTCTTTATTTCTTTATTTAATAAACCACCCTATACCCACGGGTCTCAGGGCGGTTCACAGAATAAAATCAAGATATACAACCACAAAATACCTAATAAAAATAAAAACAAGCCAATAGCCCACCTCCCCCCCATCACATTTTTAAAAGGCATAGGATGTAAATGGGATCAACCTGGTTAAAATGGATTGTTTTTTGCCTGGCGCCTAAAGATGTATAATGAAGGCGCCAGGCGAACTTCCCTGGGGAGAGCATTCCACAGATGGGGAGCCACTGCAGAGAAGGCCCCGTTCTCATGTTGCCACCCTCCAAACCTCTGGAGGAGGGGGCACACGAAGGAGGGCCTCAGAAGATCCTTGAGGTATTGCAGTCCAGCACTTTGAATTGGGCTCAGAAACTAATTGGCAGCCAGTGCAGTCAGACCAGGATCAGTGTAATATGCTCGAACCGTTTTGCTCCGGTGAGCAACCTGGCTGCTGAATTCTGCACCAGCTGAAGTTTCCAAACTGTCTTCAGAGGCAGCCCTGCGTATAACACATTGCAGTAATCTAACCTTGAGGTTTCCAGAGCATAGACAACAGTAGTTAGGCTATCCCTGTCCAGATAGGGCATAGTTGAGCCACCAGCCCAGGCTGATAGAAGGCACTCCAGGCCACTGAGGTCACCTGAGCCTTGAGCGACAGCAAAGGATCCAAGAGTACCCCCAAACTATGAACCTGCTCCTTTAGGGGAAGGGACGCGGGTGGCGCTGTGGGTTAAACCACAGAGCCTAGGGCTTGCTGATCAGAAGGTCAGCGGTTCGAATCCCCGCGACGGGGTGAGCTCCCATTGCTCGGTCCCTGCCAACCTAGCAGTTTGAAAGCACACCAATGCAAGTAGATAAATAGGTACCGCTCTGGTGGGAAGGTAAACGGCATTTCCATGTGCTGCTCTGCTTCACCAGAAGTGGCTTAGTCATGCTGGCCACATGACCCGGAAACTGTACGCTGGCTCCCTCAACCAGTAAAGCGATATGAGTGCTGTATCTCCAGAGTCGGTCACAACTGGACCTAATGGTCAGGGGTCCCTTTACCTTTAACCCCACCAAGAGCAGGCGACCTCCCTCTTAGGGAGTGAGAAGTGTTCCTTAACTCCCATCTACTGAGATGCATGAAATGTTACCAAATACAGTGTGCACGTGGGGGTGTTCAGGGGATTGCAAAAGCTGAGTTCATAGGGAAATGAAACGTCCATAGGCTAATGAAATGCGGAAAAGTGCCGTGACAATTAGCTGCTGTTTGCAAAGCCTCTCCTGGGCGAGGCTAAGCGTCGTAGGCACCTCTTGGCAACGTTCCTTTGGGTACTTTTAACCTCTGAAGGTGTGGCGCAAAGTCCATCTGTTTTGCTTCCTTAACCTTTGCAATGGAACTGCCGTTCTTCTTATCCTACCTTATGGCTGCAGGTAGGGACCCTTCCTCATTTACTTGGTGGAGCTGCTGCTTGTATACTGGAATAATAATAATAATAATAATAATAATAATAATTTAATACCCCGCCCATCTGGCTGGGTTTCCCTAGCCACTCTGGGTGGCTTCCAAGAGAATATTAAAATACAATAGTCTATTAAACATTAAAAGCTTCCCTAAACAGGGCTGACTTCAGATGTCTTGTAAAAGTCTGGAAGCAGCAGCAGAGGAATGGGGCAGGGGACGAAGCATGGTGAGTAGGGACAATTGCCCTCACATTAACCATAAACCACAGATTCCCAGCTTTCTTCCTCCTCTTCCACCTCTTCCTTTTCTTTTTAAAAAAGAGTTAAGTTCCTAGCATTTGCAGAACCTAAGATATGAGACGAAATGTACAGACACTAGGTTCCCCACGCCCCTTTCCCCCCAACGAAATATTGGGTTTCAATCATTTTGTGGATGAGAAATTAGCCTGCTCTCATCCCCCCCCCACAACGTCTAGTATTTTACTTTGATACCCCATATTTTTACAAAGGGCATTTAGAAAAGGTTTTAAAAGAAATCTCAGCAGTAATCAGCAGCCTAGAGGAGGGAGAAATCCCCCCAGCTGGCTCTATCAAATTTCTTTACAGGGGAAGATTGGGACATTTTACATAAAAACTTGGTAGGCCATCTATTGATAGCTGCAGGAATCTCAGTGGCAAGATTTTGGAAAACCTAAGGGTTAAACATAGTAAAATAGTACCAAAAAAATATGTGGGGAGGGTTTGCTCTTGTTTGTTTTCTGAGTATGTATTTTGTGTTCTTATTTTGTCATTTTATGTTGTAAACTGCCCTGGTCTCTTCTGATGAAAGGCAATATACAAATTTAACAAATAATTTAATTTTTTAAAAAAACCACAGGAAGCCTTGGGAAATCAAGTTAACTGAGAAATTGACACAAAGTTTATGTTTTGCCAATGGTTAAAAAAGTGACACACATTTTTGGCGTATTGCTGACCTTGTATAACATGCACTGATTAAAAAAAGATACTGTTGAAACCTTGCCATTGGTCTTTAAAAACGTCTATATTATCTAATTTAAAATTATATTTGCTCAAAGGGGACATACTCTCAGTAAAAGAACTATACAGACTGTGGATATGTATGCGTGTGTAGAAAGATAAAAAGAGACACACACACAGAGCCTATCGTTCATTGATTAATTTTCTATTATTTTGTAATCTTTGCAACATTTTTGGTGCCAAAGAGAGGACAGGCTTTATGTTCGGTGTGTGTGTGTGTCAGAACCGAGTTACCTGTGATTCAGTGGGTCAGTTAGTTAAGGGGGCAGCTGCCCCCCTGGCTACACCCGTGTGTGTGTGTGTGTGTGTGTGTGTGTGTGTGTGTGTGCATATATCTTCACATACACCCCTTCTGTTTTGTTTCCAGCTGCTTTGGAAGTGAAGACTAGTCCTTCTCCTGTAGTAGGCCTGGTACACAACCCAGTTGTGCTGCATTGTAACTTTACAGTTCAGGAGAGCGTCAGAAAAGAAGACATGGCTCTGAAATGGGCGGTGAAGACTGTATCTGGAGAAGAGAGGGCAGTGTTTTTGTTTGATGGGAACCACACAGCAGGTTACCGGCACGGGCCCTTGGTGAATGTTGAGTTACTACCCCATGGCATTGCATCACTCACCTTGTCCGATGTGACATTAAGGGATGAAGGGATTTACACGTGTACTGTGTTGGTAACTCCACAGTATGGAAATGGAAAGATCCAGCTTAAAGTCAGAGGTACCAATTGCTTTTTGAAGTTATCCAACGAACACAAAATGAAGAATCTTTGAGATCAATAAAGTGGTCCAGTAGAGTGGGCACCTGCCACAAAATATTGCAGTGCTGTTGTGCCACATGTTCCACTTAGCTAGCCATACATTCTTCTCAGACAGTCCACATTATTCCCTCTCCTGGTTTACTGTCCCCCGCAACATTATTCTGTGCCACTGAGCAGGCTAAGTCTTCATGGGTCTGTCTCGGGGGGAGGGGGGTTTCTGCCTTCCTTCCCTTCTTAAGTTTCTAATCCCCAACCCCACATATCTATTGTGCTTCTGAAAACCTTCACCCATGTGTGCAAAGGATGCTATTTTGATTGCGAAAGGATTGACACTCACGCCCCCAAACATTGCTAATAAAAGGAACAAGTGCTTCTAAAGCTGTGGCAAACCTCACCCAGCCCCACAAGTAAATCAGGGAATGGGAGGTGGGGGAAAGCAACAGCAACGAAAAGTAAGGAGGGGAGGAGTGACTGCCATCATTGTTGCCACGAACATAAAGAGAAGGAGGAGGAGAGCTGGGGGGGGGGGGGGAGGAAAGCAACAGTAGAGGCCATACAGTGTGAGTTGCCCTGGGCCCTGCTGCACCTCCTTAGTGCCTCTTTAGTTTTCTGGAAGAGGTATTGACGACTAAACCACTCTGTAAATTGTGGCTCCATGAGGGGAATAGGGGTCTCTTAGCAAATCTCAGCATGCTTTGGGAGAAGAAGCCATGACTGTTTAAAGTGGTAGGTAAAGGTAAAGGTAAAGGTAAAGGGGCCCCTGACCATTAGGTCCAGTCGTGGCCGACTCTGGGGTTGCAGCGCTCATCTCGCTTTATTGGCCAAGGGAGCTGGCGTACAGCTTCCAGGTCATGTGGCCAGCATGACTAAGCCACTTCTGGCGAACCAGAGCAGCGCACGGAAATGCCGTTTACCTTCCTGCTGGAGCGGTACCTATTTATCTACTTGCACTTTGACGTGCTTTCGAACTGCTAGGTTGGCAGGAGCAGGGACCGAGCAACGGGAGCTCACCCCGTCGTGGGGATTCGAACCGCCGACCTTCTGATTGGCAAGTCCTAGGCTCTGTGGTTTAACCCACAGTGCCACCCGCGTCCCTGTTTAAAGTGGTAGGAGACTGCTTTAAATGTATAGCGCGCAACACATTTTATTAGAGCAAAAGCTTCCATGGAGTAGATTCCATTTCAGCAGATATGCGGAAGGCATTCCTCAGTTGTGGATATGAGCGATTTTCCTCTCTGATAATAATCTGCTTTCCCACTCCAGCTCAGCCTGCTGTGCTGCTGTCACCCCAAAGTCTCCTAGCTGCTGCAGAAGGAGAGAAGACATTTACTTGCAACGTTCATGACTTCTACCCCCAAGCAATTAACATCTCTTGGATGGTCAGGAAACAAGGCAGCCTACGCGAAACACCACTGTCCTCAGATATATGCACAGGGGCCCCATCTTCCCGAGGCCGTGACGGTTTGTTTGCTGTGCTGAGTCGTGTCACCCAAATGGTGTCTGAGGCTGATAATGGTTCCTTATATATCTGTGAAGTCCAACACGAGTCCCTGGGAAAGCCGCTACGTAGAAACACAACTTTGTTGGTCACAAGTAAGTGTCCGCAAATCTGTTTATTATCATTTGTTAAATGTATATTCCACCTTTCCTCCAAGGAGCTCAAGGTGGTATACATAGTTCTCCTTATCCTCATAGCAACCCTGTGAGGTATGTTAGGCTGAGAGAGAGAGGGGGACTGGCCCACTACTAAACTTCATAGCTGAGTTGGGGGTTGAAGTCTGGTCTCCAAGGAATCTCACAGGCAACTAGCCACATACTTTCCTGGTGGCTCTGAAGTTCCTGCCCTGCTCACCATCTCCTCTACTTCTATGGTCCTGCAATAATTGGAGGGGTGGTGTCTGGAGGCACCTGAACCACCCAGGAAGCTGGTGTGGGCACCTTCAGTCCTGGGACAGAGATGTCCAAATCCTCAGGCTCATTGGCAGTGTGGATCTGCTGGAAGGACCAGCTTCCTTTGCTCCTCGTCCAAGGAGACCTCAAGCTCTAGGCCTGAATCCAGACAATGGCTTTTTATTCATGTAAAGGTAAAGGGACCCCTGACCATTAGGTCCAGTCATGACAGACTCTGGGGTTGCAGCGCTCATCTCGCTTTATTGGCCGAGGGAGCCGGCGTACAGCTTCTGGGTCATGTGGCCAGCATGACTAAGCTGCTTCTGGCGAACCAGAGCAGCACACAGAAATGCTGTTTACCTTCCCACCGGAGTGGTACCTATTTATCTACTTGCACTTTGACGTGCTTTCAAACTGCTAGGTTGGCAGGAGCGGGGACCGAACAACAGGAGATTACCCCGTCGTGGGGATTCGAACTGCTGACCTTCTGATCGGCAAGTCCTAGGCTCTGTGGTTTAACCCACAGCGCCACCTGCGTCCCCTTTTATTCATGTACCAAAAGCAAATCCTGCAAGACCACAGTCCATTACACTTATTTAGATCCACTGTTCTGTTGTCAGCGATAACAACAGGACAAGCCAAGTAAAAAATAAATCATCTCCAAGGAGGGGAGTCCCAGCAAGCAGTCCTGGAGGCCACAGCCAAAGAAGTGACAAAGCATATGTCAAAAACAGAACAACTGCTATTGGTTTTAATAAATGCATTTGCATTCCAGTACCAAAATCCTATCATCGGGACACAGGATTTATTGTCGGGGTGGCCACCTCTTGCATCATACTGACAGGCTTATGCAGCATATTTTTAACCATCTTTTATCAAACGCGGCTTGCAAAAGGTAAATTTTAAAGAATCCTAAAACATTTCAGGGTGCAAGTCATTCATTTTAGCCCAGTTCATGATCTGCATGAAATGACCCATGAAAGATTGCACATGTATTTGTCACTATTCCTCACCTCTTCCAAAAATGGAAACTTTCTGTTCCCAACACATGTTTTTACTTATTTATCTGATGTATTTATTTACTGGCCAATACAAATATTCTAGTTACTACTAAGTTACTACTGATATGTCTAGGGGGCATGGCTTGGCTTTTCATGGGCCACTCTGGTCCTTCCATTTTGTGCTAAGATCACAAGAAGAGCTCTGCTGGATTGGACCAAGGCCCAGCTAGTCCAGCATCCTGTTTGCACAGTGGCCAAGCAAGCACCTATAGGAACTCTGAAAGCAATAGCTCTCTTCCCACCTGGGATTCCCATCAGCTGTTATTCAAAGGCACACTGTCTCTAGATCTGGATGGTTCAGTCGGTAGAGCATGAGACTCTTAATTCCAGGGTTGTGGGTTTGAGCCCCACGTTGAGTGAAAGATTCCTGCATTGCAGAGGGTTGGACTAGATGAGACCCCCATGGCCTCTTCCAACTCTACAATTCACTGATTCTACCAGTGGAGGTACAAAAAGGCCATTGTAGCTAGTAGTAATTGATAACCTTGGCCTCCACGATCCTCTGCAGAACAATTTCTCAATTAACATTGAAATGTGTTTTATGTTTCCTGTACAGATGGGGAATCTGTAGCTTTCTAGATATTCATGGGCTCTAGCTAGCTGGGAATTATGGGAGTTGTAGTCCTGCAACATCTGGAGGGCCAAGAGTTTCCTATCTCTGGTTTCTTGGGTGCACTATGTTCAAGGGACCTTTCGCTAAGTGCACTGTACCCTAACTGCCTTTGCTTTTTATATATATAGCAGAGCCCCAGGTCTCCTCAATCATCCAGCCTGACCTGATCCCGATTAATGAAAAGATCAGGCTGATGTGCAATATAAATGGATTTAGACCCAAAACAATCCAGGTGAAATGGTACCGGAGAAACCCACACAGGATGGTGTTGGCATCAGACCATGCAAAGGAAGATGCAGCCCTTTGTGAAGCTGGAGAAGATGTTACCGGTATGGCCAAGCAGCCGTTGGAAGCCAATGGCAGATTTTACAGCATCTCCTCCTGCCTGAGCTACACGCCGACGATAAAGGACGATAGGGCAGAATTTGAATGCAACATCCAGCACAGCACACTCAAAAATCCAATACGGAGGACCACAATTATTCATGTTACTGGTAAGATTAATAGCAGTTCTCAAAGGAAGCAGCAGACAGGTTATGTATTCCAATAGTGCAGGGGTGGCAAGCCTCTCCTGCCAGGCTGGCCACATCCTTATCTCCGAAAATTGACAGGTGGGTGGGGACGTCTGCCTGTCAATCAACTGACCTCGTGCTTTGAATTCCCTATTGATTAGTGACTTGAAATTCAGGAAGGATGTTTCCTCCTCCTGTGTTTCAAGACACATCCTTTCAGACAGAGAGGGAGCAGGGATGTCTTAATCCAAGCCCATTACCTGATTTGTTCCCCGCCACCCACCAAACTTCAGTTCATCTGCCCAGAAACAACCACAACTTCCATTTCCAAGCTGGGTGGAGGCTGGTTTGAGGGGGAGTACATCAAACAGAAGTGTTTCTCAGAAAGCCACCGTATACCTACCGATTTCAGGTAACATCATGTGTAAAGGTAAAGGGACTCCTGACCATTAGGTCCAGTCGTGGACGACTCTGGGGTTGCGGCCCTCATCTCGCTTTATTGGCCGAGGGAGCCGGCGTACAGCTTCCGGGTCATGTGGCCAGCATAATTAAGCTGCTTCTGGCGAACCATAGTAGCACATGGAAACACCATTTACCTTCCCGCTGGAGCGGTACCTGTTTATCTACTTGCACTCTGATGTGCTTTCAAACTGCTAAGTTGGCAGGAGCAGGGACTGAGCAACAGGAGCTCACCCCATCGCGGGGATTTGAACCACCAACCTTCTGATCAGCAAGTCCTAGGCTCTGTGGTTTAACCCACAGCACCACTCAGCTTCAATGCCAGCAGTGGGATTGAGCTGGAGGTAGAGCAAGTGGTAAAATTTTCACAGCCTCAGATTGTGTTACCTGAGGGTGACTTGGAATACAGTGGTACCTTGGGTTAAGTACTTAATTCGTTCCGGAGGTCCGTTCTTAATCTGAAGCTGTTCTTGACCTGAAGCTGTTCTTAACCTGAAGCACCACTTTAGCTAATGGGGCCTCCTCCTCCTCCTGCTGCTGCTGCTGCTGCCGCCACCCCACACAATTTTTTGTTCTCATCCTGAAGCAAAGTTCTTAACCCAAGGTACTATTTCTGGTTAGCGGAGTCTGTAACCTGAAGCGTATGTAACCTGAAGCATATATAACCCGAGGTACCATTGTAATAGAGGCAAGGCACATCATTCACCACAAAAACAAGAGAAGCCCACAGTGGCCAAATAGATACCTATAGTACAGGTTCTTTTGGCCTGCCACTTTTCCTGTAGAGCTAGTGTAATGTCTGAAAGCTGTGTATGGAATATCTTTCCCCTCCACACAAACACACACAGACTTTTGATCTCTATTTGGCAGCTCGACCAGCGAGTCATTACATCTTCAGCTCGCCCCAGGTTCCCATACAGGGGGATAAGCTTATTCTGATCTGTGTTGTGGAGAAATTTTACCCAAAGGACATCACTCTGGATTGGTTTCGAAATGGGCAGCCTGTTGAAGAAGTGACACAGTTTGGGCCTTTCCCTTGTGAAAGTGATTTTTACAGTATATGGAGCCAGACTGAATTTATCCTGACCAGAGATGACGAAGGAGCAATTTATACCTGTCGGATCAAGCACAGCAGCTTTGGAAATGTTGAAGAACTCTCCTATGAAATAAATTTGCAAGGTATGATGCCTCTCCGGTTGGAGCAGATTTGATTTCTCATTTATTATTGCCTTTGGACTGAATGCATATATTCTAGGGACACACGCTTTCAACTTTTTTCTTCTACAGCAACAAGGACTAGAAAGTTACATTTAATTAAAACCAACCAACCAACGAAACAGCAATTTCAACCGAGATGCATTACATTTCTTTTCCCCAAATGGCCTTGGCAGAACAGGGTGCATCGCTTGCCACTATATCTTAAGGGGAGCAACTCACTTTGTTATTTCATGTCCCTACAGGAACGCCCCCAGAAGTCCTCTGGATCACTCCAGACCCTACGGTTCCTGTTGCAGGAGAGGAGCTGAGGCTAAGCTGCCGAATCAATAACTTCTCCCCTAGCGTGATCAGGGTGAATTGGTTCCAAGATGGGAAGCCACTGCATGTGGGAGTCTGCCACTCGGTCTCCGTAGTTGGCGCCAATGGCTTGCACTCCATGTGGAGCCTTCTGAGAGTGACACCTGCACAGGGGGCGGGGAATACTGTGTTTACGTGCAAGGTGGAACACGACGCGCTGAGCGGATGTGTGGAAAGAGTGTACACTTTGCAGATGCCTGGTGAGTCCTGAGTTGATAAGATCCTTGAACAAACATCAAGGAAGCCGGAATAATGCACAGAGGGAGTCTGGAAGAGAGCGTTGGGGAAGTGATGTGAATAGAAAGTCGCGAGGTAGGAGCTGAAATGAGACCGGGCCTGCATTCCAACATCTTTTCCCCGCAAGATGAAAGGCAGCATGCTTTGGCTGTTGGCCTGAGGTCGTCATCTGTAAAAATACCCCATAGGGTGGCAGAGGGATTAAATTTTGCTTACAGAGGGCTTTGAAGATGTTCGCTTCTAATTATTAATATTATTGCGAAGCTATTACAATGTAGCCTTTGGCTGCTCCCTGCAAGTAGCCAGGTGCAGTTTTTGAGGGATGAGGCAGAGACCCCACCACAAAACCCCCACTTAGATGCTTACTAGATTTGTTCCTGTGGTGGATTTGTAGTTGCTAGCAGGAGAAGTATTATGCAATTATTTTCACCCACCCTCTATTTCTGCATTGCTAATGCTAACCACTTCATTCTAGATGCACTTACTTGGTTGCAAATACTGTAAGTCCCATTGCCCTCTTTGGGGCCTACTTCTGAGTAGGCATGTGTGGGCTTGCACTGCGAAGAATTCATAGATAATTGGGCTTGGTGACAAACTTGCAGAAGTTTCAGCTGAGGAAATCTCTGATTTTTTTCCATGCATTTTTCTTACGCTCCACTTCAATACAGTGGTACCTTGGGTTAAATACTTAATTCGTTCCGGAGGTCCATTCTTAACCTGAAGCACCACTTTAGCTAATGGGGCCTCCTGCTGCTGCCGATTCGCCGGAGCATGATTTCTGTTCTCACCCTGAAGCAAAGTTCTTAACCCGAGGTACTATTTCTGAGTTAGCGGAGTCTGTAACCTGAAGCGTATGTAACCCGAGGTATCACTGTATCTAGCAGCCCCATGCAGGCAATCGATACTTTTTACATCCTTGTCAAAGAAACATTTGAGGAGAAGACTCCCATATGTTTCCCTTTTAAAAGTTTATGGGTGAAGGAAAAAGCCCACTAATTTTCCATATGTACTCACAGGTTTCAGTCCTAATAGGGAAATGATGCAGTTTTATTTTAGATCTTGTTTGACAATGCAAACTAAGTTCCAGTGAGTAGTGAAATGTCGGTTTAGTGCCAATTTCTATTACCAGTAAAACCAAATGTTAAGTATTTTCCACGCTGCAAGCATGTTGTAACCATAATCAAAGTAACTCGGCATGTAGAAAAACAACAAAGTTGGGAAGAAGGTTAAGATGGAAGCTGCTCCCTGAAATATTAGTTTTCTGTGTGCAGGGAGGGGCAGGGTTTGGGGGTGGGTTTTTTGGTCAGGGCAGCTCTATTTGTAGCCTAAAGTTGGAAAATCCAGTAAAAGTTTTATTACATGGTTCTGTTTCTTAACCCTTTCACATACTAACTAGCATTGTTAGATTTGACTGCAAATCTCCCACATTTTGTTCAGTGTTGAGATGTGAATATTTGGCAATGTCCTTTGAATATAATTTGGGTCAACAGACGCAAGGTTTAGGAGGGAAGCAATGTTTTAAGAGATGGTGGCCCAAGACCCCTTGATGCTAATTTATTGGATATAAAATTGCCAAGTGGCTTGCTTTTGTTCTATTAACAGAAAGCATGATATGGAGAGAAAAAAGAGCAAAGCCAGAAAGTGATGTTTTTCAAGCATGGAGAAAATCATTCATTACTATTGGTTGGGCTAATCAATCTGCTGATAAAAAATCTACACTAGTTGGTCCAGAATCTGGCAGCCTTAATTGTATGCTAGAAGAGTAATTCCACTTGTTTTCTTTATTGGATGAAGGTTGAACCGTTTTCATGAAAAAGAAGGGAAATCTGCACCGAAGCAAACCAAAGGGAGATTAGCAAAGAAACTATGAGTGGACTGGATTTCAAGGCATGAACAGAAGGATAAAAGCAGAAAAAGGAAATAATATACCGTCTGCAACCACTAGATGTCGCTTTTCACCATCAACTGTTTGGCCAGATAATTCCAGATATTTGTGGTTTAGTTTATTGCATTTAGTTTATTTTATCACTCTGGTGACTCTCCTTCTCCAAGAATTCAGGAGTGACTAAGCTTTCTAGCTTAGATCACCATTGCCTTTAATTTTTTTAATTATGTGCCACATTTCTCTTTGCAAGAGGAAAAAAAAACAATCCCACAAGACAGTTCATGACCAAGATAACTAGCAAACAGTCATTTAGAAATTATCAGAAAAATATTCCCCAGAGAACATAGGAGAGTGCCCTGTTAGCTCAGTGGTAGAGCCTGTCCATTAGGGTGTGTTGAATTTTTCCAAAAATGAGGGTTGCTAAAAAGTTGTAACATGACTTGGGAATTAAAAAGATATTTTGGTTAAATTAATATAATTTAGTTTTGGATGTAGGTCATTTTTTGTGTAAAATTGCATAGAGATTATTAAAAATGATTGCCAAGTACTTCCAGTTACATTATACATTTTCGTTGTTGGCATTTGTCTGGAAGAGTGTTCCATTGGGGGTCAAACCGTTACAGTGCCTATTGTAGCTGTAGAGACCGATACAGGAGAGACAATTTAGCATATTACCTGACATTTTCAGAAGGCAAAATCAAAATTCTTTGGGTTTCTGAAAGCAGCTTATGTACTTCTTCATCAAATGTAGACTTACGAAGCTAGATATTGTCCAGTCAGAAAAACAATGGCAGATTTAAATTCCACATGCCCAAAAATGATTTTTCAAGATGCCTCACTGAAGAAATTTGAAAAAATTAAGTTTCAGATCCTAAAATGACATGCCTTGCTGCCCATTCTCACAGCCCCAGGAAGCAATATAGTTCTGAATGCCATTTGCTGGGAAGCAGCTTCTGCTTGTGGGCTTCTTGTAGACATTGGGTTGTCCACGGTGAAAACATGAGGCTGGACCAGATGGGCCATTGGCCTGATCCAGCACAGCTTTTCTTATGTACTTAATCTTTGCCAGGTGATGATCCCAAGTTCAGTGCTTAGTTATCCTCTCTTAAAAGGACCCAAGACTTTCAACCCTAACCCCACTGGCCTGGGAGCAAGCCCCCTTGAATTAATAGGATTTACTTCTAAGCAGACATGGTTAGGGACGGGGGTGGCGCTGTGGGTTAAACCACAGAGCCTAGGACTTGCCAATCAGAAGGTCGGCGGTTTGAATCCCCGTGACGGGGTGAGCTCCCTTTGCTCGGTCCCTGCTCCTGCCAACCTAGCAGTTCGAAAGCACATCAAAGTGCAAGTAGATAAATAGGTACCGCTCCAGCAGAAAGGTAAATGGCATTTCCGTGCGCTGCTCTGGTTTGCCAGAAGCGGCTTAGTCATGCTGGCCACAAGACCCGGAAGCTGTACGCTGGCTCCCTCGGCCAATAAAGCGAGATGAGTGCTGCAACCCCAGAGTCGGTCACGACTGGATCTAATGGTCAGGGGTCCCTTTACCTTTACCTTTAGACATGGTTAGGAACGTGTTGTTCAGTAGTAAGTCATGGCAAAGACCTCCTGACTGAGATAAGACAACTCATCTAACTTTAACAATTCCTCCAGTGCTGTTACTTTCCTCTTCCATTTGTGGTTCCATAAAGAATGGGGTTTTAGAAGGTAACATTTCTCAAACACTTGCAGCCGTGTGTAATATGTCAAGGTACAAATGCTAAAATTCTCGCCCAGATGCAGTTATTGAGGTTATAGAGCCCTGCGTCTAAAAGGATATTTGTCTATTCTGCATTGAAGGTCCCAGCCGTGCTGAGAGATAGGTCTGCTTTTATAATGGGCCTACTAAAGATTCCAGCGACTTCAGCTGTCAATCAGCTGATTACAAATCAGCCTTGTAAGGAATGACAATAAAGCCGTTGCAGGAAGGAATATATTTATGAGCAAGATCGGAATGGCGAAAGCAGTAGGGAGTGAGGCATGCGTGTTGAGGTTGCTGGTTTGAAGTGTGTGTATTTTGGAAGCAAGAACTGCTGTTTCAACTGAGCTGATCTTGTCATAATAATATTAATAAAAACATAGTGGTGAAGGCTTTTTCTTTTGTTTTTAAAACTGGCATTCCAAATGGAAATTTCCATGCAGAAATATGTTTGTTGTGAAAGGGATTATTTACATGCCCTAAAAGAGGAAGAGAAAGAGTTAGATACTAGTTTTATGATGCGAAAATCCCTATCAATACTAGTATCATAATTTAAATACCTCTGATGTGCCTCTACCCCCCACCCCACCCTGGCAAGGAAAAATAATTCACATTTCCTTTTTTAAATTCAATTGACTTCTTTTATGTTAATACAAGTGGTTGTTTTAGTCAGCTAGCCTTCATCTGCCCCAGCTGCAACAAAACATGTCTCTCCCTTATCAGTCTTTTCAGCCACAGCAGGTGCTGTGATCTTCCAACAGTTTGACTTCACCCTCAAAGGTGTACTCCTCCATTGTCTCCCAAGACAGACAGATGCCAAGCAGCTGGAAGAGAAAACAAGGACTGGAGTTGGGGTTGCTTTGCATCTCCCCTCCACCAAATGTCTGAGCCTCCTTCTGTGTCTTTAACAGCAGCTTTATCTGAAAAAAATGAGCAGGCAAAGCTTTTCATGGCCAGGAGACAAGAATGACCAACCAACTTCTGAAGATCTGAACCATTTTGAAAGAATGGCCAAGACTGGCCTGGATAGTAAAATGCTACCTGAGCACAGCTGAAGACTCTTATTTATAAAAGTATTTCTGATTCATAAAGCTTTTCTTTTTGGATGAACAATAAGAGTACCTTTAAGAGCTGCCTGACAGGCAGATTTTTAATAGGTTCAGTTGTTCTGCACTGAGAAAGCTGCATATCTTGATTTTTTCCTTGTTATGGGCTGAATAAGAGCCAAACATACAACATTCCTCATTTCTGTCCACCCTTGTAGCCACCCTTTGAGTCATTTCTGATTTGCCAACATCCTTCTTAGAGTCCGGTGAATACACTTCACAGGATATGGTCTTGCACCTGGGCTGACCAAATTAGCCCCTTTTCTCCCAGGTTCCGTCAAAATCTCAGTAATTCACTGGGCACACCTGCTAGATCACAGCCTCACCCTGTGCACATCCAGTATAATAAGCAATTATGCTTAGGAGGATGCTCTCCAATTTTGGGTCCTCTCCCCACCCAGAATTGCTTTTACTTCTGATTGCTTAATACTTGAATCTATTAGCTATTCTGCCTGTCCAGTATCTCCAATTCTCTTTATTAGCAATTATCTATGAAGGAGGTCGCTTGTCTAATACAGCTCCCCTGTCTTCCAGGCATGATGCAGGGTTTATTTCATCAGTGTCTGGAATGATGTTCTATGATGTGTTGAGGACACTGAGATTGAAAGGTGAGATCAGGTTATTTTGTTTTTCTCATTTTTACCCTCACAAACATATAAGCAAAGGCAGAAGGGGAGACTCGGCTGATAATTATCCTCTTCTCTCTCATCTTTCAGTGCTTTGATCTCTTTTTTCAAGTTGATTATGAAGAATGGGATGGAAACGCTGCCTTCTGCCCTTTGCCCAACGTCCCTACAGTGAGGGATTCTCTTGCTTGTTAGACTCTTAAAAGGAATCGTCTCATCTCCCTTCATGTTGACAGTTTTCTCCCTATTAATTAATTTTATAATGAATGATTTTAGAGTGTTGTTTATGCTGTACTTTTGTATTGTTTTATTGTTGTTAGCCGCCCTGATCCCGGCTTCGGCTGGGGAGGGCGGGATATAAATTATTATTATTATTATTATTATTATTATTTAGTGAGAGGGGAAGCAGTGCTGCCTGGGAGTTGCAGGAACCCACTTTGTGAGACTTCCTGATACCAGGAGGTTGCTGAAAGCCGCAACTACTTTGGCACTCTAATTGCATTTTGGAGTTATCAGTTTGGATAGCTCCTTTGTGACCCACTTTTCAAGGAGAAGGATCTTTGCTCAGTGGTAGAGCATCTGTCTTGCAAATAGGAGGTCCCAGATTCAGTCCCCAGCACCTACAAGTAAGATAGGGAGAATCTCATCTGAAATCTTAGGCAGACATTGTCACACAGTGTGGGCAATACAGAGCTAGTTGGATAGTCCTACCTGGGCAGTTATCTTTCCACAAGGGTAGACATTGATGCCGAAATCCAGCATCGCCTGAGCTCTGCGAGTGCAGCTTTCTCCCGATTGAAGTGCAGAGTGTTTGCGGACCAGGACATTCACAGGGAAACCAAAATGCTTCTTTACAAAACTATTGTACTACCAACCTTACTGTATGCTTGGGAAATGTGGGCCACTTATAAACGCCATCTCCAACTCCTCGTAAGATTCCATCAATGGTGTCTCCGGAATTTTTTACACATCACTTGGGAAGACAGGAGAACCAATGCCAGTGTACTGGAAGAAGCAAATATCACCAGTGTCAAAGCAATGATTCTTCAACATCAACTTCGTTGGACTGGTCACGTTGTACAGATGCCTGATTATCATCTTCCAAAGCTACTACTCTATTCCGAACTTAAAAATGGAAAGCGTAATGCTGGTGGTCAACAAAAGAGGTTCAACGACTCTCTCAAGGCAAATCTAAAGAAATGTAGTATAAACACTGACAACTGGGAAACACTGGCCTGTGAGTGTTCCAATTGGAGAACAGCTTTTACCAAAGGTGTCATGGGTTTTGAAAACACTTGAACTCAGGGCTAAAGGGAGAAATGCGCTAAGAGGAAGGCACACTTGGCAAACCATGATCAACTCCCACCCGGAAACCTATGTCCCCACTGTGGAAGGATGTGTGGATCCAGAATTGGCCTCCACAGTCATTTACGGACTCATTGATAAAACCGTGTTTATGGAAGACAATCTTACTCAGCTACTAGTGATTTCCAAAGAAGAAGAAGATGGATAGTCTGACTGCATTTAAGGTAGCTCCCTATGTTCCTAAAATATCCCTTCAAAAGTTTGAACTCTCCTCTAAAACATATTCTACCTAGCAACCCAAGTTTCATTTCCACGACCTCACAGCTACATTCTCCCCATGTCATTGATGCCAGTGGCCCTGAATCCTCTTTAGCACTATACGCTAGGCTATTTAGGTAGATCCTCAACCTTGCATGGGGCAGGCAATTCACCCTATTCCTTGCCTGCCCATCACACATTCAGCTGCCTCAATTCCTAATGGTCAAATCGCCCGCGACCAGGATCCTTCCACCTGCCTCTTGATTCCACACTGACAAAGGAACAGCAACTTCAACTTTAGCTGAGGGCATCATGCTGGTTTAGGGGTTCCTGACTGATCACCAACAGAGGAGAACGCTCACGGCTTCAGGGGCAATGGCTGGTGGGAGGTTGGTGCTGCAATTGCCTCCCTCTGCCTGATTCTGGACTCAGGCATGATGCCCTCCCTGTCTCTGGTAACATGTGAGAAATGGGAGAGACAGCTCAGTATAAAGCAGCACCTTATGTCAAGCCAGACCATTGGTCAATATTCAGGCAGAGCATTTTCTAATTCAACTGGTAAGAGCTTCCCAAGATATCAAAAATACATGTTTCTGAACTCTGCTTCCTGATATTTATTTTTATGTATTTATTTGCTTTCCTTACATTCATACCACACCTTTCTTCCATCATGCACATGTGTAGCTTCCAAGTGGTCTCCCATCCAGGGACTGACCAGTCGTGGTCCTGCTTAGCTTTGGCAAAGTGGTGGCCTCATGTGCCTTCAGACCATAACCTAGAATCTTTAGTAGGAGATGCAAGAGATTGAACCTGGAATATTATGCTTGCAGAGCACATGCTCTACCAATCAACTGTGCCCTTAATACAAGATTCCAGAGTTTTTTTTGGGGGGGAGCTTTGGCTATAGTCAAATTTGTGCATCTCAGGGGGAAAACATAGCTGCTGCCCCTGCCCTTGGAACTAGAGGCTAGGTTTTGTCCATGGGTCCTGCATTCGTTTTCCTCCACACCCTTTGCATGCTCCCAAGCCTCTTGCAAGGCACTTTCCCCAGCGCAAGCATCGTACTACCAGTGGCTGCTATATTGCCGTGGGGCAGAAAAAGGAGTGACACAGAGCTTCATCAACTCAAGAAGGTGAAGCATCCACCCGCCTCGAGCTTGCACCTGGAACAGTCCTATATTCTGCCGCCGCTGCTCGGAAGGGCATAAGTTAATCAATAGACAAAACCCAAATACCCATTTACCAAAGAAATTCTAACCCGGATATTATGTTCAACAGTTCATCCAACCCTTTACCGCAGGAAGCCTGTTTGTAGGTCACCTCTATCAGCGGTTTATGTGTAACTTTGCTTTCAGATGACTCCCCCTTGCCCCTTAAGCCTCTGTTTCTTTCAAAAGTGACCTCCCTTTGTTCTCTTTAATCTCATTGGCCTTCTGGCACAGGAGCCTTATTCTAAACTTTTCCATTCCTTACTTCATGCTGGGTGTGATGCAAAACCATTCTCAAAGAAAGGAAAGTTTTAAATAGCTAGTTTCTTAATAGGGTTCTCATGTTGGGAGCAATAATCTTCATATCTGTTTTGTGGCAGTAATGACCATCTGTGATACGCTTTGCAACCCATGAATTTTTGATGTTCCAGTACACCTAGGAAGGATGTTCAGCATTTCAAGGCAGGGATAAATATCTCAAGAAGAGGAACCAACAGCTAATGTCACACAGTGGCTAAGAGACTGAGCTATGAATCTGAAAGCCTTTGGTTTGAATCTTAACTCTGCCAGAAACTGACTACGTGATCTTGATCAACTCATCCTCTCTCAGTCTCCCATCTCTCATATGGGGAATAAGGATACTGACCTATCTCCTTATCTACATACAGCTTAGGTCCAAGCTATTTGGAAGACCGTATTCCCTCATACGAACCTGCCTGGATTCTGAGATCTTCAGAAGAGGCCCTTCTCTCAGTTCCACCTCCCTCACAGGCACACTTGGGCCTTCTCAGTGGCTGCTCCCAGACTTTGGAACTCTCTCCCTTGAGAAGCTAGACAGGCTCCCTCCTTGCTATCTTTCTGCCAGCAGGTGAAGACCTTCTTGTT